GAGACATCATAGAAAGAAATTAAAGACCTAAATAAATGGAAAGACATCTTGTGTTCATGATGACTTAATAATGTTAAGATGACAATACTACCCAAAGTAACCTACAGATTCAATTCAATCCCTATAAAAATTCCTGCTGCCATTTTTGCAAAATAGGCAAAATAATCATAAAATTCATATGGAAATGCAAGAGACACAGAATAGAGAAAATCCTGAAACAGAAAAACAAAGTTAGAGGGCTCAAACTTCCTGCTTCCAAAACTTACAACAAAGCTATGGTAATCAAGACTGTGTTTTTCACATAAGGACAGGCATATAGATTAGTAGAATGGAATTGAGAGTCCAGACATGAGCCCATACATCTACAGTCAATTACTTTTTAAAAATGAGATGGTGTCTTAATATGTTTTCCAGGGTGGACTCAAATTCTTGGGTTCAAGCAATTCTCCTGCCTCAGACTCCTGTGTAGCTGGGACAACAGATGCAAGCCTGGCTCTATAGTCAAATAATTTTTGACAAGGGTGCTAAGCCTATTCAATGAGGTGTCAAGAAAATTCAATGGAGAAAGAGTCGTTTTTAACAAACGATCTTTGGATAAATGGATATCCACACGCAGAAGAATGAATATAAACTCCTACATCATACCATGCAAAAACCTTTACTCAAAAATGGAAACAGACCTAAATCTAAGAGCTAAAACTATAAAATTCTTAGAAGAAACCACACAGTAACTCTTTATGACTTTGGATTAGGGAATGGTTTCTTAGATATAACATCTAAGGTATAAGCAACCAAAGACAAAGCAGAAAAAAACACACAAATTGGACTTCACCAAGATTTAAAATTTTTGTGTTTCAAGACAGTATAAAGAAAACTAAAAGAAAACCCACATAATGAGAGAAAATATTTGAGGACTGCATATCCAACAAGCACGTAATATCTAGCACATATAATGAACTCTTACAAATCAAGAAAATAAATTAAAAAATCCAATTAAACAATGAAACAAGGATTTGATTAGACATTTATCCAAAGACGATATACAGTCAATAATTGAACATGTTGAGCACATGAAAAGATGCTCAACATTATTAGTCATTAATAAACTACAAATGAAAATCATAAAGACATTCCACCTCACACCTAAAAAGATGACTATCATTAAAGAGAGGGACAATAACAAATGTTGTGGATGATGTAGAGAAATTGGATCTTCACACCTTGGTGGTGCAAATGTAAAATGGTAATATCCAAACAGTTGAAACCATAAAAAGTTGAATTTAGAATTATCACCATATGATTCAGTATATGTATATACCCAAGAGAATGGAACACATATGTTCACACAAAAACATTTCTACAGATATTCATAGCAGCATTATTCATTATAGCCCCAATGTGGAAACAGCCTCCATGTCTACAAATGAACAGATACACAAAATGTAGTATTCATACAATGGAATATTATTCAGCCATAAGAAGGAATGAAGTACTGAATACAGTTGTCCCTCTGTATCTGTCGGAGATTGCTTCTGGGACCTCCTGTGGCTATCAAAACCAACATATGCTCAAGTCCTTTATGGAAAATATTGTAGCATTTGCATATAATCTACACATGTACTCCTTATATATTTATTTCTAGATTATGATGCTTGATACAATGTAAATGCTGTATAAATAGTTGTCATGCTATATTGTTTAGGGAATAAGATTTAAAAATGTGCACACGTTCAGAACAGACACAATCATCCTCTTTTACTTATTTTTGATAGGGGGTGTCACCCAGGCTAGAGTACAGTGGCCGATCTTGGCTCACTGCAACCTCTGCCTCCTAGGCTCAAGTGATCCTTCTACCTCAGCCTCCCGAATAGCAGGGACTACAGGTGCACGCCACCATGCCCAGCTAATTTTTATATTTTTGGAAGAGATAGGGTTTTGTCATGTTGCCCAGGCTGGTCTTAAACTCCTGGGCTCAAGTGATCCGCCTGCTTCGGCGTCTCAAAGTGCTGGGATTATAGGCATGAGCTACCATGCCCGGCCTTTTCTGAATACTTTTGATCCTCAGTTGGTTGACTCCATGGATGTGGAACCCACGGATATGAAGGACCAACTGTACATGCTACAACATAGATAAATCTTGAAAATATACAAGTGAAAGAAGCCAGTCATAAAAGGTCATATATTTTCTGATTTCATTTATATGAAATGTCCAAATAGGTATATCCACAGAGGCAGAAACCTCCAGGGCCTGGAGGAGTGACTGCTAATAGATATGGTGTTTATTTTTCAGGTAACAAAAATGTTCTAAATTTACATGGTGGTGTTGGTTGTACAGTTTTGTGAAAATACAAAAAAAATCACTCACTTATTGTATACTTTAAAAGAATGAATTTACTTTATGGTCTGTGAATTGTATTTTAATAAAGCTGTTCTTTTTTTTTTTTTTTTTTTTTAAGAAGCAGTAGCACACACAAGTACGCCTTTCTAATTTAAAACTTACATTTTCTGTGAGGGTCATGTTTTCTTTGCTGATATTTAATACTGTTGTCAGTAAAGCCAGATTTATGATGTTGATTTACTTGGCTTATTTCTTGAGGTAGAACGGCACCCTGAAAATTAAAATTCTTATAAATTAAACAAAATCTTAATATAACTACTTATTTTCTTCAACTTTTAATAAATAATTACATTATTTTTATAAAAATTACATAGTTCCTTAGAAAAAAACTTAATATAGAAAAGTATAGAGATGTTTAAAGCCACCTGAACTCTACCACCAGACTCATTAAACATAACTACCACTCTAGATATTTTTTCTATGCATTACTTTGCAAGATACAAAAAGCTACTTTTTGTTTTTTTTTGAGACAGATTCTAGCTCAATCACCCAGGCTGGAATGCAGTGGTGCAATCTCAGCTCACTGCAACCTCCACCTCCCAGGTTCATGGTGATTCTCATGCCTAAGCCTCCCGAGTAGCTGGGACTACAGGCGAGTACCATCATGCCTGGCTAGTTTTTGTATTTTTAGTAGAGATGGACTTGACACCATGTTGGTCAGGGTGGTCTCAAACTCCTGGCCTTAAGTGATTCTCCTGCCTCAGCCTCCCAAAGTGTTGGGATTACAGGCGTGAGCCACAGTGCCCAGCCAAAAATGCTTCTTTCAAAAAAAGAATTAAATCTAATTTTGCTTGATGTTAACAAATGTAGAAACCAAACAAAGTACTAAACTTGAGGTAAATGTTTCTTCACAACAGAAATATCAGTCTCTAAAGATCCCCCTAGATTTGCTTCAAAATAATCCCATCGCTTGGGCAGGTGGAGGTGGGAAATGAATAGGGGTTCTAAAAGAAATAGTACTGGACTAGAGCAAGGTAGGGAATGAGTACTTGCATATTCATTCGTTCTATTTACTTGACTTCATTATGTTTAAACTCTGCCATTAAAAAGTTTTTTAAAATGCATAATTTCTGGCTCTATGTTATAAAAACTGAGGATATCAGCCCACTTATATTCCCTTCCATGTTAATTTTTATCCCACATTTTACTGTGATTAATAAAAATCCCAATATCTGATTTTTATTATATTTATACTGTCAAGGTTTTTAAATGATGGAAGACTTCACTACAAGACAGCCAGACTGATTATAAAGTTACAGTAATTGAGACAGTTCATAAATAGACAGATTTAGCAAAATGGCATGAGTAAGTTTTGTATGAAGATTCTATCAGATCCTTTCATTTTTGGATAGGGAGAGAAAGCCTGAATGCATAAAGAGACAATTTGCCACAGCTGAAGGAGCAAGAAGAAGCAAAAGTGGAGGTTAAAGAAGGTCAATACAAATGAATTATTTCACAGTTTTGCTTTTGGTAGGCCCTATTTACTTTCTTCTCAGCACAAATAAACACTGGGTACAAAGATACAACATGTCTTAGCTGGTAGTTGGCATGGTTCAAAATACTTGTGATATGCATGGGAGTACAAAGGAAGGCCTAATGAGGTCACATGTAAAGAAACACTCAAGGCTCTTTGGTTTTTTAAAATTCTATTTTTAATCTTTTTTTTTTTTTTTTTGGTAGAGACAGGGATCTTATGATGTCATCCAGGCTAGTCTCAAACTCCTGAGCTTAAGTGTTCCTCCTGTCTTGGTCTCCCAAAGTGCTGGGATTACAGGCATGAGCCACTGTGCCCAGCCCGAGGTTCTTGTTTTATTTGTGTTTTGTTTTTGGGACAGGGTCTTGCTCTGTCACTCAGGCTGGAGTGTAGTACAGTGGTACGGGCTCACCACAACCTTTGACTCCTGGGTTCGAGTGATCCTCCTATCTCAGCCTCCCGAGTAGCTGGGGCTATGGGCATGTGGCACCATGGCCAGCTAATTTTTATATTTTTTTTGTAGAGAGAGGATTTTGCCACGTTGCCTAGGCTGTTCTCAAACTCCTGGGCTCAAGTGATCTACCCACCTTGGTCTCCCAAAGTGCTGGGATTACAGGTGTGAGCCACTGCGCCTGGCCAGTTCTTCAGTTTTTAAGAGTCAAAATGGCATGAGATTTCTACTGTCATGGCACAATGACTGGTGGGGTTCTGGACTACAGCAGCACATTATGGGTGATTTTGACTCTAAGGAGAGGAATTAGAACATCAGGACAGAACAAATATTGTTTTGAGTGTCTATTATGTGCCAGGTATGGTCAATGAACTATGTACCCATTATTTTAATATCATTATAGTAATGCTACTATCATAATAATGCTGTTATTATTTTGATTTGATTTTACAGATGAGTATAGATGAGGCTCAAACTGATAAAGCAGTTTATCACAGATATATGTAATGGGAGAGTTGACGTTTGAGCTTTAACTCCAAAATTCATGTTCATAGCAATACTTCGGAGAAAAGGTAAGCCATACATTTAACTAGAAAGCAAATATTAGGGTATAGTTCTTTTTTTTTTTTTTTTTTTTTTAGGGTATAGTTCTTTAGGTGTTCTGTTTGGTATCTCTATAAAGGTATTTGTGTTAGTCATATTGCCATGTTTTGCCAATCAAAGCTTGAATATTTTTTATCACAGTGAGTTCTCTTGAATCTGCTCATCAGACTACGCTGCTTATTAATGCATGTGCATTATATTTGGGGCCTCATAATTCTTAGGACATTTAAGAGATAAATCATGAGAGTGTTCAGCTGAAATAATGAAATAGTAAGATGGGTTGCATGTAGGAGATAATGAGAAAATACAGTATCAAGTGGTTCTCAAGGAAAACATGGATTTTGACTGAGACCTAGGGGGTTATTGGTAGTGAGAGAAAAAAAGGGCATTACAAGAGGAAGGGACAAAAAGAACACATAACCCCAAATGGGAATCATCTGTGGGAAAGGGAAAGTAAAGAGACCAGCCTGACTGGAACAGACTATTATGTCCAAATAGTTGGATGTACATCATATAATTTGGAGTTAGATTATAGAAGGCCTTAGACATTAGTTTGAGGAGTTGAAGCAGGAATCCAACCCTGGAGCTGTATGTATTCTAGAGTACTACAGCAATACTATTTTGTGGCTGGAAAAGACCTCAGAGGTCATCTAAGTGAAATGCCTTCATTATATACATGAGGACACAGGAGCCTAGGGAAATAAGCCTCTTTGAGGAGAGAGTATTCCAGACAAATTCAAAGGCCCTATTGTAGGGACCATCCCTGGCATACTCAAGGTAGAAAAAGAAGGTCATTATTGCTATAGCAAAAGGGTGAGTTATTGAAAATGTGACTAGAGAGGTGACACACTGATACTGTGTAGGACATTCTAGGCCACTACATAAGGACACTGGCTTATATAATGGCCAGTATATAAGGACACTCAGTGAAATTGGGTGAATTAGTGGAGGGTTTTCATCAGCAGAAGGACATGATCTCTGACTCATGTTTTAATAGGATCACTCTGTCTGCTATCTTGAGAACAGACTGTAGAGGAGCCAGGATGGAAAGAGAGCAGTAGACTACTATAACCATCAAAGTGAGAGTTGCTATGAATTTGGACCAATAATAGAAGCCTGTGAGGAATAGTCCAATTCTAGACATATTTGGAAGAGATTTATAGACGGTAATGAATTGGATAAAGAGGGTAAGAGATATAGGAAGGAGTAAAGGATATGACTCCTAAGGTTTGAGTGAAAGGATGGAGTGGCTATTAACTGAGATGGGAATGACATCAGGTCAAGTAAGTTTGTTGGAGAAGAACAAGAGTTCAGTTTTGGACATGTAAGTCTGACATGTCTATTCAAGTGGAAACAGAGGTGGACATTTGAGTGGAGATGCAGGGTTGGACATTTGAGTCTAAAGGTCATGGAGGACTTCCAAGCTGGAGAGAGAAATTTGGGAATCATCATGTATTTTTGTAGGTATGTATGTTTGTGTGTGTGTGTGTATATCTATCTTATCTACCTTAATCTATCTGTCATCTATCTATCTATCTATCTATCTATCTATCTATCTATCTATCTATCTGATCTACCTACCTATCTAAGGAAATGGGTATAGAGAAGAAGTCCAATAATTTAGCCTTAGAGGATTCCATCATTAAAGAGCCCCAGAGAGTACATGAAACTGACAAAGATGACTGAGAAACAACAGCCAATGAAACAGAAAAACAGCAAAAGGTGGTATTCTAATGACAAGTGAAGAATGAATGACAAGGAGAACTGAGTGATCAACTGTATGAAATGCTGTTGATGAGCCAATTCAGATGGAAACTGAGACTTGATCACATGGTTTAGCACATGAAGGTCACTGGGAACCTTGAAAGGGCAGTTTCAGCAGAGTGATGGGAATGAAAGACTGATTAGAGGTCGGGCGCGGTGGCTCAAGCCTGTAATCCCAGCACTTTGGGAGGCCGAGGCGGGTGGATCACGAGGTTGAGAGATCGCGACCATCCTGGTCAACATGGTGAAACCCCGTCTCTACTAAAAATACAAAAAAATTAGCTGGGCATGGTGGCACATGCCTGTAATTCCAGCTACTCAGGAGGCTGAGGCAGGAGAATTGCCTGAACCCAGGAGGCGGAGGTTGCGGTGAGCCGAGATCACGCCATTGCACTCCAGCCTGGGTAACAAGAGTGAAACTCTGTCTCAAAAAAAAAAAAAAAAAGAAAGACTGATTAGAGTGGGTTTAAGGAAGAAGGGGAGAGAAGCAGCAGTATAGGCAATTTTTTCAGAGTTTTGTTCTGAAAGGAAGCACTACTGTAAGTCCCTTCTTGCTTTTACCTATTTGTTCAACTTTTTAATTAACTCCTGCTCTTCCAATCTTTTACTGAGGACTGTTCTTCCAAATTCAACAACAGTTTTCTTGTTCTTTTTTGTCTTACTGCTCGACTAAACTTTGATTCTTACCTCTCTGCTAAGTATTAACTAATCTATATCTCCATTTGAACCACAGTCAAGATTTAATCCAGTATCTACAGCTTTCTAGGACAGATACTATAGCTGGATACTCCATCATCACCTCAACCTCAAGGTTTCCCATTTTAGACAAGGCAGCATGAGAGAAAAAGCAAATTTTTTTTTTAAGTAAAAAAGAAGAAAGTCCCAGAATTGGCCTCACCTAAAGCCACGTATCTTACCCTTATTTCTAATACTACCATTCCTCAGGCATATAATCTATAAAATGCTTAGAGTCAAAAATTTTTCTTTCCAACATTTTTACAATGATATTATAAGTCATTCTATCATTCTACTTCTTCTCATTTTCTGCAACTGGACTTTAGATTGTCATCCTTGGCCTAAATTAACCTTCTAACTATGATTATTGTTTCCTATCTTTTTCATGTCTAGTCCTTTATACATGCTGCTGCCTGATTAATCTTTCTTGAAGACTCTTTCATCTGTGTTGGCCCCAAGGCACAATTGAGCAAAGTATCTCTTGGGTATGAACTCATTTTATACCCTGAAGCAGTGTGGTACTCTAAGTACAGTACTGGACTCAGAATCAGGAAATCATGTTTTGTGATTCAAGTAGTTTAAAACAGAATAATTTATGTAAAACCTAAAGAAAGCTTACAATAGCATACTGAGGAAACCTATGTATCTTACCCTAATTTTTTTTACTTTTGACTAAGTTATGACATATACACTATTTTTTAATGCTTATTTTGTCATTTACATTTATTTTACCATTTATGTTTATATTTCCTTTGTAATTTTCTCCTCTTTATCTCAGATAATGCTACCATAACTGCAGGACATTAGAATAAATGAGGGTCTGAAGGTACAGGCTACTGGTTTATAAACTGGAACATTCCTTTTTTTTTTTTTTTTTTTTTTTTTTCCCTGACATGGTATCCTGCTCAGTTACCCAGGCTGGAGTGCAGTGGCATAATCTTGACTCACTGCAACCTCTACCTCCTGGGTTCAAGTTATTCTCCTGCCTCAGCCTCCCCAGTAGCTGGGACTACACGTGTGCACCATCACACCTGGCTGATTTTTTGTCTCTGTATAGAAACAGGGTTTCACACACTGGCCAGGCTGGTCTCGAACTCCTGACCTCAAGTAATCCTCCAGCCTCAGCCTCCCAAAGTGCTGGGATTACAGGTGTGAGCCACCAGGCTTGTCTGAATATTCCTTTTTGATCTAAGCCAGGGGTCCCCAAGCTTTTTACACAGGGGGCAAGTTCACTGTCCCTCAGACCGTTGGAGGGCGGGACTATGCAAGGTGTGACACCCTTCACAGCCAGCGCTGCTACCTCCACTATCCCAGACAGCGGTATACAGTGTCACAGGCCCAGCACCGCCTCCAGTGCTGTCTACAGGGATGGCGGTGATCAGCCTGTGACACTGTGTATACAGCGTCCTGGACATCTGCAGCAGCGGTGGGCCTCTTCTGTGGGAAGCCCACTGCCGCATCTTTCCCCTATTATAAGACACCTCCTAAAAATAAGACAGCCCCCGTCTTTTGGGGGTAAAATTAATATAAGACAGGGTCTTATAATAGGGGAAACACAGTGTGTAGTAATGTGGAGGGAGACTTTTGGGCAAAGGTAGGTTATAGGGGCCATTATGTTGTTGTACATTTGGGGGAGTTTGGGGGCCACTGTACTGTGTAGTAATGGTTATAGTGCTTTGCCTTTCTTCCTACTTCTGCTATTTCACACGGCTTCCGGTGATGTGGGGCGCCGCAGCCACAGACCGGATGTGCGTCATATGACGCGCTTCCGGAACCCTGACGCATGCATCCTGCGTCACCGGAAGTAGTACTGTACATGAGTGATGCTGCGCTTTGTGGCACCGCCACACACAGTGCTCCAGGAGCACATCCTGTGCTCCTCTCACTGACCACCAATGAAAGAGTTGCCCCTTCCTAAAGTGCAGCGGGGACCGGATAAATGGCCTCAGGGGGCCGCATGCAGCCCGTGGGCCGTAGTTTGGGGACCCCTGATCTAAGCTCAAAACGTAGTTAACTAACAAAACATGAAGAAAGAATGTATTCCTTTCCTCTTCCTTTCTTTGCCTGAGTCTCTACTCTTTTAGCAGCACTTTTTTTCTTCTTAATCTCTACCAAGGAATGCATATTTGCTCATTCATATTTAAGATAACCAACTACCAGCATAAAGTGACACATTCAAGTGGAAAAAAATGTTGTTAAATGCAATTAGTGTCTTTGTTGAATTTAAAATATAGTTACTATGACTTTGTATATTGAAAAAACCCTAAAGCTGATTTAAAAGAAACATTTTCTATATTCTAAACTCATTGGTCCAGAAGCTTTTATAGGTCTGAAAATAATTACGAAAATTCATGTTCACATGTAACCAGAAAGAGCCCAGATAGCCAAGTCAATCTTAAGCAAAAAGAACAATGGGAGACATCACATTACCTAACTTCAAGTTACACTGTAAGTTTATATTATCATGTAACAAAAGTAGCATGGTACTGGTACAAAAGCAGACATACAGAACAATGGAACAGAATAGAGAACGCAGAAATAAAATGGTACACTTAACAACCATCTGAGTTTTGACAGTGTCAACAGAAACAAGCAATGGAGTTAGGACTCCCTATATATGACGGGATGGCTGGCTAGCCATATGCAGAAGAATGAAACTGGACCCCTACCTTTCAGTATATACAAAAATTAACTCAAGATGGATTAAAGACTTAAAATATAAGTCCCAAAACTGTAAGAATCCTAGATGAAAACCTAAGAAGTATCACTCAGAATGTCGGCCTCGAGGAAGAATGTATGACTAAGTCCTCAAAAGCAACTGCAACAAAAACAAAAATTTACCAGTAGGACCTACTTAAACTATAGAGTTTCTGCTCACTAAAAAATGATCACCAGAGTAAAAACAACCTACAGAATGGGATATTCACAAACTGTGCATCTGACAAAGGTCTAATATCAAGAATCTATAAGAAACTTAATTCAACAAGCAAAAAAACAAATAAAGCCACTTAAAAATGGGTGCAAGATGCTTACTTCAGCAGCACATATACTAAAATTGGAATGATATAGAGATTTATAAAATCTTAAGAAAATTTATCTTTTAATTTAAAAAATTGAAAAAAATGGGCAAAAGACACGAATAGACACTTTGCAAAAGAAGACATTTAAGTGGCCAAAAAACATATGAAAAAAATGTTCAACATCATTAATCATCAGAGAAATGCAAATCAAAACCACAAGGAGATACCAACTCACACCAGTCAAAATGGCTGTCAAAAAGTAACATGCTGGTGAGGCTGCAGAAAAAAGGGAATGCTATAAACTCTTGGTAAAAATGCAAATTAGTTCAGCCACTATAGAAAGTAGTTTAGAGATTTCTCAGAGAACTTAAAACAGAACTTACCATTTGACCCAATAATCCCATTGTTGTGTATATAACCCAGAGAAAATAAACGATTCTTCCGAAAAGACACATACCCACATATATTCATTGCATTTGCTATTTACAATAGCAAAGACATGGAATCAACCTAAGTGCTCATCAATGGTGGATAAAATTGATTAATGGATTAACTGATGGATTTAGAGACCGAGTCTTGCTCTGTCGCCTAGGCTGGAACGAAGTGGGGTGATTTTGGCTCACTGCAGCCTTTGCTCCCAAGTTCAAGCAATTCTCATGCCTCACCCTCCCAAGTAGCTGGGATTACAAGTGTGCGCCACCATGCCTGGCTAAGTTTTGTATTTTCAGTAGAGATGGGGTTTCACCATGTTGGCCAGGCTGGTCTTTAATTCCTGACCTCCAATGATCTATCCACCTCAGCCTCTCAAGGTGCTGGGATTACAGGTGTAAGCCAGAGTGCCTGGCCAGAATTTTTAAAATGTTGTATGTATGTATATATGTATGTATGTATATATATATATATATATCACAGAATATACACTATGAATACTATGCAGTCATAAAAAAGAAGGAAATAATATCCTTTGCAGCAACATGTGTGGAACTGAAGGCCATCATGCTAAGTGAATGCAAATAGGAACAGAAAACCAAACACTACATAGTTCTCATAAGTGGGAGCTATGCATTGGGTACACATGGTCATAAAGATGGGAATAACAGACACTGGGGGTTACTAATTGTGCGGGGGAAGAGCTGAAAAGCCACTGGTTGGGTGTTATGCTCACAGTCTGGGTGACAGGATCATTTGAACCCTAAAACTCAGTGTCACTCAGTATATTCATGTAACAAACCTGTACATGTATCCCCTCAGTCTAAAATAAAGTTGAAATTATAGTTTAAAAAAAGAAAATTCATGATCAAAATTTTCATTTCCTATTTTATTTTATTTTTGATACGGAGTTTCGCTCTTGTTACCCAGGCTGGAGTGCAATGGTGAGATCTCGGCTCACCGCAACCTCCGCCTCCTGGGTTCAGGCAATTCTCCTGCCTCAGCCTCCTGAGTAGCTGGGATTACAGGCACGCGCCACCATGCCCAGCTAATGTTTTGTATTTTTAGTAGAGACGGGGTTTCACCATGTTGACCAGGATGGTCTCGATCTCTTGACCTCGTGATCCACCCACCTCGGCCTCCCAAAGTGCTGGGATTACAGGCTTGAGCCACCGTGCCTGGCCTCATTTCCTATTTTATGAGATTTCATAGAAAAATAATCATTGTAGTCTTAAAAGAAAAATATAAAAACACATTTTCTTTAAATTAATTGTCCATCAAAAACAAGGAATACTAACCTTCTCTGGTATAGTTGGCTGAAAGTGTTGCATCTTTCCAGATCCCTGTAAGGACTGCCAAATGTTGCAAAATTCATCATCATCTTTAGTAGGTACCTAGCAAAGTACAAACAACTTCTTAAGGAAATAGGAAGAAATAAAAATACATATTAAAAATAAAATAAAATAATTTATTTATTAATGTTATTCACGGTAGAAAGGACATTAAACTAACATTCTTTTTTTTTTTTTTAACTCAATATCTTGCTCATATTGCCCAGGGTAGGGACCTGTGGTGGGGTCATAGGTCACTGTAACCTCAAATTCCTGGCTCAATCCTCAGCCTCCTGTGGAGCTAGGACTACAAGTTTGGACCAACATGCCCAACTAATTTTTTTTTTCTTCTAGGGATGAGTTGCTATGTTTTGCTGTGTGGCTGGTCTTGAACTCCTGCCTCAAGCAGTCCTCCTGCCTTAGCATCCCAGAGTGTTGGGGTTACAGACATGAGCTACCACATCCACCCCTAAACTAACTTTCATTATCTGAAATCTCTTAGTTCCTTTTTTTCCAAAGCTCAGCAAAGTAATCACAAAAGTATTCTATGAGAGTGAAACTGTTCTTCTTTATATGCAATAGGTTTTGAATGGTTTTATTTAATGAAAAGTATTTAAAGCATAACAATCATTATAAAAGATTTTACTGACTCAGTATCACCACCAACAGATTTTTTGTCTTCTAATGTACTAAAATACATTACCTCACTCAAATTAACACGTAAAAATTTTATTTGAAAAATCTTCACTTTATACAAAATAATTTAATACATTTAAATATCAACTATTACTTAAGATCAAAATGCTGGAAAAACAGGCACCAAATTTTGACAGTGGTTACCTAAGAGATTTGAGAGGACTTCTGCTTGTGTTTCCTTTGTTATCATCTACTTACCTGTGTTTTCCAATTGGTCTATAATAAACAGGTTATCATTTGGGTTAAAAAAATGTACTTAATAAGCATGAGATTTGGGGCCATGGCATTAAATAAAATGTCTCACACAAGGTAACTTAATTTTTGTTCCCAGAAAGAGGAAATAAAGGAAATCACCCATAAATTTTCTGGTAGAAACTTGAAAATTGTTTTTGATAAATGTGATAAAATTGTTTCCCTTTTATCTTTCAAATGTATGCTATTTATAGTAGATAGCATGGACATTTGTATTACATAAGAAAACAATTAAATGTTAATTTGAAAAGTAAACATATAAAGAGAAAATATGGACACCCTCAAGTTCCCATGTAAACGTATTTTTTTTCCTTTAATACAAACTGTTATTTTACAGCAGAGGTAGAATGCTATCGATAGCTTTCTTTACTAGCCAGTACCTTAAATCCGGAATTGACCAGAACCAAAATCTTTTAAATAAAAAAGGGAAGCTAAGTTAAATTAGGCTTACATTTACAAAGTCTGCTGTGATTTGTGATTTGTAAAAGGGGTAGAGGATAAGTTGGAAGACTGAGAGTCTTACGTGAGTAGGAACAAAAAGTGACTGAGGGGAATGGTTGAGGCCTCCCAAATGCCCAGTAGAAACTGATGAATTTGAGCTATAGTGATGCACAGCTGGCTGTGGTTTCACGATGGCTGTCAACTTCTGATTTCCAGTTTCAGAGCGACTCCCGTGAGAAATGTTCACCAAGGCACTTGTTGGCAGTCGATAACCTCTACCAGGTGAGCATCTGAAAGTAAAAAGCTCTATCAGGGTCGGAATGAAAACAATACTAAATGTGTTATGGAGATGAGTCAAATAATTTTTGGTGGACAATCCATCATCAGCACTAATTAACACTACTTTTTAATTCGGTAGAGGAACCTCAAATCACAGAAATACCTCAATTTATAAGATGATAGATTTCTAAAAAGTTTCCTAAGAGGACATTTGGTATTTACTAAGTAGAGAAAACCCAACTATGTTCCAGGGGTGTGTGTTGATTTGTTCTTAAGAAGCTTGTGTTTTAATTGCTGAACACAACTGAAAATTTATGAATTAAATATTGATTTTTTTTTTTTTTTTGAGATGGAGTTTCACTCTTGTTACCCAGGCTGGAGTGCAATGGCGTGATCTCAGCTCACCGCAACCTCTGCCTCCTGGGTTCAGGCAATTCTCCTGCCTCAGCCTGCTGAGTAGCTGGGATTACAGGCACGCGCCACCATGCCCAGCTAATGTTTTGTATTTTTAGTAGAGACGGGGTTTCACCATGTTGACCAGGACAGTCTCGATCTCCTGACCTCATGATCCACCCGCCTCAGCCTCCCAAAGTGCCGGGATTAGAGGCATGAGCCACCGTGCCCGGCCTTTTTTTTTTTTTTTTTTTTTTAAGAGATGAGATCTTGCTCTGTCACTCAGGCTGGAGTGCAATATCCTAGCTAACTGTGTCAAACTCCCGGACTCAAGCAGTCTTCCCATCTCAGCCTCCTGAGTAACTGAGACCACAGGTGCATGGCACCAAGCCTGGCATGCTTTTATATTTGTTTTTAGAGATAGGGTCTCACTATGTTGCCAGGCTGGTTTTGAACTCCTGAGCTCAAGTAATTCTGTAATCCCAAAGTATTGGGATTACAGATGTGAGCCACCATGCCCAGCCTCAAACTTCTTAAAGAAAACTGTGGAGCCGGGCATGGTAGCTCACACCCGTAATTTCAGCACTTGGGAGGTCAAGGCGGGCAGATCATTTGAGGTCACACATTTGAGACCAGCCTGGCAAACATGGTGAAACTCTGTCTCTACTAAAAATGCTAAAAAATTAGCCGGGCTTGGTGGCGCACACCTGTAATCCCAGCTATCTGGGAGGCTGAGGCAGGAGAATCACTTAAACATGGGAGACGGAGGCTGCAGTGAGCTGAGACTTCACCACTGCACTCCAGACTGGGCAACAGAGCAAGACTCTGTCTCAAAAACAAACAAAAAACAACTGTGGTTTGCGAAGTCTAAGTTATGAAAGCTCAGGAGTATACATTCTCAGTGTGGCTCTTCCTAAGCAACAGGGTAAATGTTAGATTTGATCTCATTTGTCTATTGGTCGCCTGTGGAGTCCAGCCCCTTTTTCCTCATTTTCTCATCTTAAAGTTCCAGGCCCGTATCGGGAAAGGCTTAAGAGACAAGTATTTGTGATTTCCATCTTTCATGGCCTTGATAAAAATGTAAGATATTAAAGAAACCTTCTCTTGTTTTTAACTCTATCACCTAATTTTTTTCTCTTTCAGGGTGTAATTTTCTTATATTGAAAGTGGAAAAATATGAGTCTATTAGAAACCTTTGTAAGTTCAAGGTTGCTAGGAAGTATCTATTTTCATGAAAACTAAACTTACTAAAGATTCTGCACTACAGAAATGAATATACTGAAGGCAGGTAATCCTTTACCCAGCTCTCTACTGGTCAAGAAATTTGCTGTCCTTTACTAGAAGAGGTGGGGAAAAGACACTGAGGAAAAAAACCCACAAAAATAGATTTAAAATATATTTTGAAAAGTTAGTGAATCAAAGGTATTGGTAATCAAACATTTTCATGAAAAATAAAATCAGACAGGAGATCTAGATTCTGCCGCTGTATGTGAAGAGTGCAGACAGAAAAGTCTTTGAGTAACAAGCATATTTAAACTGCAAAACAACAATAATAGCATCGTGAAGTTGACTGCTGGGTATAACAGCTGAATACTGTGATTTCACGCAAGGAGGTTAAATCAGGGAAATTTTTAACTTTAATTACTAATTTATCAAAATCGAGGAGAAAAAGAAACTAAGCTAAATTCAGTTCAGTTTCCCAGCTCGCTTTTAGAAAGTAGAAAACTAAAAAGGATTTCATTTCATCCTCACAGTAACCTAGCGAAGTATGTACATACATTCTTCATTACAGATGAGGAAATTGAGGGTCAGACACTTAACTAACCTACCCAAGGTAATAAAATGTTTAAGTGAGAGAGTTTACACCATGGTGCCTCTTGTTTCATCATGATCATTGTTTCTAAAACTTTAAACTCTCTATTAGCACATTCCCCCACAAATACTCATCTCTTCTATGCTAAATTAAAACAATCTAACCCTCTTCCTTTAAACCTCCTAACTTCCAGTTAACTTTCTCCTTTTCTTTATAGTTAAACTTCTCAAGTGTTGCCTCAATTTCCTACCTTCATTACTACATGTGCCATTCACTTCTCAACTCACACTGATCTCTCTTGAGTACCTATAACTTTACCAAAATTGGTGACAAAGACATACATGTCACTAATTTCAAAGGACATTTCTATTCCTCAAGTTATGTAGCCCTAATATCATTGTTTACATATGCTATTCCCTCTTCCTGTGCACACATCATTATTCCCCCCTTTTTTTGTCTGGTTTAGCTATTATTCATTCTTCAAGTTCTATCTTAAATATCACTTCTTCAAGGAGGCCTTTCTGTTACTTGCAGAACAGGTCATACTTTTTTTTTTTTTTTTTTTGAGACGGAGTTTCGCTCTTGTTACCCAGGCTGGAGTGCAATGGCGCGATCTCGGCTCACCGCAACCTCCGCCTCCTGGGTTCAGGCAATTCTCCTGCCTCAGCCTCCTGAGTAGCTGGGATTACAGGCACGCGCCACCACGCCCAGCTAGTTTTTTGTATTTTTAGTAGAGACGGGGTTTCACCATGTTGACCAGGATGGTCTCGATCTCTCGACCTCGTGATCCACCCGCCTCGGCCTCCCAAAGTGCTGGGATTACAGGCTTGAGCCACCGCGCCCGGCCAGAACAGGTCATACTTTTTATAGAAAACTGTACTTCTTCCTAGCGCTTGCCATATTTTAATTAAATAATTAATATTGTAATCAGTTGCTTAATTACCTTCCTCACTAAAATGAAAGCTCTGTGAGGGTAGAAGGCATGTCTGTCTTATTCACTGCTAAATCCCTAGTAGTAAGTATGTCTTACACATACCATGAACTGAAATTGTAAACAAATAAAAAGCAATGTAAAGTCATTGACCACATGGACATATTCACAAAGGGCAATTATCATTGGAAAACACAAACCTTATTGTTAAGCCTCCAGGAAATTCTTCATCAAATAATACTTCAAATAATACATCAGCTTCTCTAATAGCTGTTAAAACAGAAAGAGAAAAAGAGATACTAAAAAAGCGTATGATGAAAAATCCGCAGATTAAATTTTTGGAGTGTTTGGAAGTATTTAAAAATTCTGGATATCACATAAAATATTCAGGATATGAAGAATGGCATATTAATATAAGGAACATTATACAAGCTAAGAAACAGAATACCAGTGCCTTAGAGTATCACCGTGTCCCAATTCCCAACTACTCCTTTTCTTTGTAAAAGAAAAGAAATGGTTTCTTTGTAACCATTATCTTCACTTTGGCAGTTATGATTCCTTATGTTTCTTCATATTTCTACTATATATATATGTATCTCTGAATAATACGTAGTATTATTTTGCAAGTTTTGAAACACACACCTATCACAGAGAATATATTATTTTGCAACTTATTTTTATTTCTTTCAACATTATATTTGTGAGATTCAGCCATGTAAACATGTGTTCATTCAGTCTTCTGGATATACAGTATCCCATCTACGGGTATACAGTAATTTATCCATTCTCCTACAGACACACATTTAGGTGATTTCTACCTTTTGCTATTATTAACAACGCTACAATGAACATGCAAATGTGTCTTTTACGCAGGTGAATGTTCCCTAGGTCAAAAGTAAAACTGCTGGGTCTTAGGACATGTACCTTTTAAAAAAAACAGCCTGAGGGATAACTAACCTATGATACGCTGCATATAGTTGAAGTATACAAGTTAGTGAGTTTTAACATACATAATTAACCATGAAGCCATGATAAATAGGATAATCACTTCCAAACTTTCCATGTCCTTTTGTTATCCAAATCCTCCTTATCTAGACAACAACTAAAACTCTGCGATCACCATAGGTTACTTCACATTTGCAGAATTTTATGTAAATGAAATGATGTAATGTGTATTCCTCGCTTGTCTGGCTTCTTTGAGCATAATTATTTTGAGAGTCACCCATGTCGTGTATCATCAGTAATTGCTTCTTTTTTTATAGCTCAGAAGTATTCCACTGCATAAATATCCAAGAATTTGTTTATCCATTCATCTGTTGATGGGGATTTAGATTATTTCTAGTTTTTGCTTATTACATATAAAGCTGCTATGAAGAGTCATGAACAAGGCTTTATGTGGATTTAAGCCCTCATTTCTTTTGGGCAAATACCCACCCATGAATGAAATGGCTGGGACCTATGCTATATGTTTAACTTTTTAAGAACTTACCTTCATCATGATAACCCACCAATGAGGAGGAGAAAAAATAGAACCTGCTAACCTACTTTCTAAAGTGGTTTTATCTTTTACATTACCACTGGCAATATAGGAGAGTTCTAGCTGCCCTATCTCATTGCCAACACTTGGTATAATCACTCTTTTTAATTTAAGTCATTCTAGTCTGTATGTGGTAATATCTTATTTGGTTTTAATTTGTTATTTCCCTAATAACAAATGATGTTGAACATCTTTCATGTGCTTATTTGCCATCCATATATCTTCTGTGGTAAAATATGTGTCCAGCTATTTTGGTCATTTTAAAAACTAGGTTGTTTGATTTATTAAGTTGTGAAAAACTTTTTTTTTTTTTGAGACGGAGTTTCGCTCTTGTTACCCAGGCTGGAGTGCAATGGTGCGATTTCAGCTCACCGCAACCTCCGCCTCCTGGGTTCAGGCAATTCTCCTGCCTCAGCCTCCTGAGTAGCTGGGATTACAGGCACGCACAACCATGCCCAGCTAATTTTTTGTATTTTAGTAGAGATGAGGTTTCACCATGTTGACCAGGATGGTCTCAATCTGAAGACCTCATGATCCACCCGCCTCGGCCTCCCAAAATGCTGGGATTGCAGGTGTGAGCCACCGCGCCCAGTGCCAAAAAACATTTATGTAGCATAAATAAAAACACTTTACTAGATTTATGTTTTGCTAATATTTTCCTTTTCATTTCTGTAATGGTGCCTTTTGAAGAGTGGGTTGTTTTTTTTTTTTTTTAATTTTGATAAAGTCTAAAGTAGCAATTTTCTTTTTCTTTCTTTTCTTTTTCCTTCTTTTGTTTTTGAGACAGAGTCTTGCTCTGTTGCCTAGGCTGGAGTGCAGTGGTGTGATCTCATTTCACTGCAACCTCCACCTCCCGGGTTCAAGCAATTCTCCTGCCGCAGCCTCCTAAGTAGCTGGGATTGTAGGCACCCACCACCACATCTGGCTAATTTTTGTATTTTTAGCAGAGACGGGGTTTCATCATGTTGGCCAGGCTGTTCTCAAACTCCTGACTGCAAGTGACCCACCTGCCTTGGCCTCTCAAAGTGTTGGGATTACAGGCTTGAGCCACCGTGCCCAGTGTTTTTATTTTTCATCTTTTCTTTTTCCTTCCCTCCTTCTGTCCCTCCCCTACCCTTTTTCTTTTCTTTTTCCCTCCCTCCCTCCATCCCCTGGCTTATTCTTTTCTTATTCTTTCTCTTCTTCCCTTCCTTCTTTTCTTTCTTGCTTCCCTTCTTCCTTCCCTTCCTTCCTTCTGTCTCTCTCCTCTCTCTCTCTTTTTTTGAAAAGGTCTCACTCTGTCACCCAGGAAGAAGTGTAATCATGGATCACTGCATCCTCGATCTCCTGGGCTCAAGTGATTCTCCCACCTCAGCCTCCTGATTAGCTAGGATTATAGGTACACAACATCATGCCTAACTAATTTAAAAATTTTTTTATTTTAAAGACAGAGTTTCTCTTTGTTACCCAGGCTAGTTTCAAACTCCTGGGCTCAAGCAATTCTCCTGTCTTGGTCTCCCAAAGTGTTGGTAGCATAGGTATGAGCCATTGTGCCTGGCTGGGAATTTTCTTTCAGACTCTATGTGTGTTATTTAAAATATCTTTACCAAATTCTAGGTTATTAAGATTTTCTCCTAAAAGTTCTATAATTTTAGCTCTTAAATTTAGTCTTTGATTCACTTTAAGCTAATTTTTTTTTTTTTTGAGACGGAGTTTCACTCCTGTTACCCAGGCTGGAGTGCAATGGCACGATCTTGGCTCACCACAACCTCCGCCTCCTGGGTTCAAGCAATTCTCCTGCCTCAGCCTCCTGAGTAGCTGGGATTACAGGCACACACCACCATGCCCAGCTAATTTTTTGTATTTTTATTAGAGACGGGGTTTCACCATGTTGACCAGGATGGTCTCGATCTCTTGACCTCGTGATCCACCCGCCTTGGCCTCCCAAAGTGCTGGGATTACAGGCTTGAGCCACCGCGCCCGGCCTTGTTTTGTTTTTTTTGAGATGGATTTCGCTCTTTGTTACCCAGGCTGGAGTGCAATGGCACGATCTCGGCTCACCGCAACCTCCGCCTCCTGGGTTCAAGCAATTCTCCTGCCTCAGCCTCCCTAGTAGCTGGGACTACAGTCGTGCACCACCATGCCCAGCTAATTTTTGTATTTTTAGTAGAGACGGGGTTTCACCATGTTGACTAGGATGGTCTCAATCTCTTGACCTCGTGATCCACCCGCCTCGGCCTCCCAAAGTGCTGGGATTACAGGCGTGAGCCACCGCGCCCGGCTAAGCTAATTTTTATAGAGGATGCAAGGTAAAGGGTTGTGGCCTATTTTTTTGCATATGGTGTCTAATTGTTCCAACGCCATTTTTTTCTTTTACACTAAACAAACCCTCAATGTATCCAGCACGATTTTTACACTAATTTCCACGTTTTTTTCTTATTGCTCACCACAATACTAATGAGGACAGCACCACTTATTAAAGACATTATCCCTTCATCAAATTATCCTGGCACATTTGTTGTAAAATCAATTGACCATATAGGTATGGGTCTATTTCAGAACCCAAATTATATTCCATTGATCTGTATGTCTATCTTTATACTAATTCACATTGTTTTTCATTATTCTAGCTTTGTAAAGTTTTGAAATCAGGTGAGGTAAATTCTCCAAATTTGTCCTTTTTCAGATTTTTCTGGTTAGTCTAGAGCCTTTGCTTTATTTTACAACCAGCTTATCAATTTCTAAAAATCTGGCTACTGAGATTTTGATCGAGATTTCTTTGACTATAAATCAAAGCAACTGATTTCATTGACATTCTAACAACAGTGAGTCTTCTAAAAAACGGGAAAACAAAATTAGGGAAGAAAATTCTTTTAGGTGGACAGTAGGATCCAAAGAGGATCTACAGATGCAAAATGTACAGAACCACAGTTCAAATTTAGGTAGGATTCAGGGGAAGGAGTTCAAATCCCAGCTCTGCCACTTATCTATGTGAACACAGGAAGGTTACCTAACCTTTCAGGTAAGAAAATAACACCCATCCCTTGGGTGAGAGTGAGGGTTAAATGCAAAATATGTTAGTACCTGGCACACTGACGGCACTATTAAGCAGTTCTCTTTGGCTAGTGGCCTGCCTGTTATTCCTGCTTCTCGGATGGTGAGACCAAGAGGTTGGGTGCCTATATATATATATATATAGAGAGAGAGAGAGAGAGAGAGAGACAGAGAGAGAGAGAGAGAGAGAGAGAGTGTGTGTTGCCAGCACACTGACCCCTGCATGCATAATGCTGCTTCATGCTGGCACTGACTTTTATCTGAATCTATGCTATAAAGCTGGTTATTCCAGGAATATCTCTGGGGGCACATTCAGATATTTAGCTGCTGCTGCTGCTTCCTTTTTTCTTCCCCCTTCTCCCTTTTTTTTTTTGTTGTTGGATAAAAAACCATGAAACGGGTGCGGGGCGGGGGGATAGGCATGGCTTACACCTGTAATCCCAGGACTTTGGGAGGCTGAGGCAGGTGAATCACGAGGTCAGGAGTTTGAGACCAGGCTGGCCAACATGGTAAAACCCCTTCTCTACTAAAAAATATTAAAAAATTACCCAGGTGTGGTGATGTGCGCCTGTAATCCCAGCTACTCAGGAGGCTGAGGCAGGAGAATCACTTGAACCTGAGAGGTGGAGGTTGTAGTGAGGTGAGATTGTGTCATTGCACTCCAGCCTGGGCAATAGAGTGAGACCCTGTCTCAAAAAAAAAAAAAAAACATAAAGTTCACCATCTTAGCCACTTTTAAGTGTATGGTACAGAAGTGTGAACTGTATCCACACTGTTGTGCAACAGATTGATAGGTCTGTTTTACATATGTGATTTAGTTGTATTCATAAAGTCCAAATTAATAATATGCACATTCAATTTTCAAATCTTTTTTTTTTGAGACAGAGTCTCGCTCTGTTGCCCAGGCTTGATGGAGTGCAATGGCGTGATCTCAGCTCACTGTAACCTCCGCCTCCTGGGTTCAAGTGATTCTCCTGCTTCAGCCTCCTCCGGGACTACAGGTGCGTGCCACCACAGCTGGCTAAGTTTCGTATTTTTAATAGACACTGGATTTCACCATGTTGGTCAGGCTGGTCTCAAACTCCTGACCTAGTGATCTACCCACCTAGGCCTCCCAAAGTGCTGGGATTACAGGGATTACAGGTGTGAGCCACTGAGCCCGGCAACTTTCAAATCTTTTAACTGTAACTAATGTAATATAAATTTATTTATTTTCAGAAACTAAGTGATTACAATGAAAATAAAGATAAAGCTCTGATCAAGATTAGACAAATGTTTAATTCGGGAGAAACAATGAAAATTCTCTATCAGTTTCATGAAAACATGTATGCTCACCAAGATCTTGTGTAATTTTAATGTGACATAAACTAAATTCTCAGCAGCCCCTTCTCAATTTCTCCATCTTTTAACCTCTTTCCAGATGATTATATAACAAAAAAGAAGAGATTTTTTTTTTCCTGAAAAGCATTACCTAAAAAAATTTTAACTAAAACATAAAAAGATTTAGTTTGTTCCTGATTTACAGTCACTTTCTGCTTGGATATAAAAAACAGACAAACTTGTATATTACTTTACAATATAAATTAATTTGAAGACATGTCAAGTATTAAGATATTACCTCCTTTTATTCCTATGATGGTGCCTCGAAGGCCAACTGGAACTGAGAAGTTTTCTCTCACATTTACAACACGGTCAAAAAGACGAAATTCTGCATCCCGATCAGGAATTACTCCATGTTGCTGTTCTAAAGGCTGAAAAGAAGAAAGCTATTAATTCTAATTTTAAAAAAAAGTTTTCCTACTAATATTCTGAGAACATTTTTGTTCCTTTCATGTATTCAAAATGAAAGCAACAACTCAAAATTCTTTGATAGGGAACTTACTCTGTACAGCAAATGGGGCTTCACTGTTACTCGCACTTTCTTATTATTCTTTCTTTGCTGAGGAAAAAGAAAAACTGTTAAATATTTTTAAAATATAAAATTTTAAAATCACTCAACTACTATTTCCACATGGCTGAATTTTAAAAAGCCAAATGAAGTGATTAACTTTTAAAATATTTAAAGTTTTGCAGCTGCAGCAAGGAGAAAGAAAATAAACACAAATAAAATGCCTATAGCTTAAATCATTATTTTAAAACTTTTTGCTGGGCGTGGTGGCTCAAGCCTGTAATCCTAGCACTTTGGGAGGCCGAGGCAGGTGGATCACAAGGTCAAGAGATCGAGACCATCCTGGTCAACTTGGTGAAACCCCGTCTCTACTAAAAATACAAAAAATTAGCTGGACATGGTGGTGCGTGCCTGTAATCCCAGCTACTCAGGAGGCTGAGGCAGGAGAATTGCCTGAACCCAGGAGGCGGAGGTTGCGGTGAGCCGAGATCGCGCCATTGCACTCCAGCCTGGGTAACAAGAGCGAAACTCCGTCTCAACAAAAAAAAAAAAAAAAAAAAAAAAAACTTTTTAAAGTAAAATTTTTTGTTGAAGTGTAAGACAGTATGGGGACGAAAATGAAAAATTACAAGTATGTAGACCAATGAACTTTAATAGTATATCTATGTATAACTATGCCTGGTTCAACAAACATTGCTAAACACAACATAAGAAATCCTTTCCATCTCCTTCCATTTACTATCCTTTCCTAAAGTAACCTTACTTCTAACACAAAAGATTATAATTATCTGTTTTGGACTTTATGTAAATGCTATCCTATTCAAATGTCTTTTTATAACTACGAAAAGAATTACACACAATGGCCAATAAATATTCATATACTTTAAAAAAGTATCAATTACTGATCTATGACCATACCATGAATTTTGTGGCCACTTGTAAACTACGGTGGCATTCACTTAACAAAACCCTTTGCTTTGAATTTATTGTAACACTTGCTATTAGAATCTTTTCATTATCTAAAAAATGCTGGAAGAAGACTTTTCTCCTGTCTTTGCTACTTGCTAGTTCTGTGAATCACACTTAACTACTTTAGGCATCAGCCTCCTTCCATCTGTAAGATGGAAACATTACCTGTTCTAGCTAATAAAACGAGAATAATTTATATCCTTTACAATTCATCAACTACTATTCATAATAAAAAATTTAAAGTTAATGCTTACCCAATTTAAAAAATTACAGCAGTTTAATTATATGGCAGTCACCTCTCTTTAGAACACAGCTTATGGGAATAAGTATAAAAGGACACAGACCGAACCCACGCTATATAGTCCATAAATATAGGGTTCAAGTATTTATATACTATAAAATGCTCAGGCCTTTAAACGGTATCTTTTTTTTTTTTGTTATGACACATTTCATTTATTCTTTCAATAAATATTTACCGAGTTCCATTTGTGTGCTATATATTGATTAATCGAGGTACTGGGGATAAAGCAGTGATCTGTTCTCTCATTCTAGTTGAGGGAGATATATAAGACACAAAATAAGGAACATATATAGCATGTTAGAAGGTAAAAAGCCTAGAGAAAAATGAAGCAGTTAAGGAGGATAGCAGTAGTGGGGGAGATACGACAATTTTAATTGAGTGAACAGTGAAGGCCTTATTGACAAAGTGTCTATGCTCTCAGCCCATAGCAGACTAGATTCACTAAAAGACTACAATAGCAAAAGGAAAGACTATGAATATTTAAAGGAACTTTAAAAAGCAGGCACAAGACCTGTGCCTGGAGTATTGCATATCAAAAAATAACCCATATGCTCTAAAATATTCTTAGGCATTATTACACTATGGCATTGATTAGAGGACATGGCTATCAAAACTGGTTCATAGGCAAATGAATAAGCTGGGTAATGTTCATAATAGGCCCCAACCCATACCTAATGTCTGAGAAGTTTGGGAACTGGCTACTCAAAATGTGATCACCTAGGAGCTTATTAGAAATGCAGAATCTTGGTACTGTGGCTCATGCCTGTAATCCCAGTACTTCGAAAGGCTGAGACAGGAGTTCAAGACCAGCCTGACTAACATGGAGAAACCCCATCTCTACTAAAAACACAAAATTAGCCTGGCATGGTGGCGAATGTCTGTAGTCCCAGTTACTTGGGAGGCTGAGGCAGGAGAATTGCTTGAACCCAGGAGACGGAGGTTGCGGTGAGCTGAGATTGTGTCATTGCACTCCAGCCTGGGCAACAAGGGAAACTCCATTTCAAAAGAAAAAAAAAAAAAAAAAGAAATGAAGAATTTCAAGTCACACTCTAGACCTAGTGAATCAGAACTATATCTTAATAAAATCTTCTGGTGATTTGTTTGTATCTGAAAGTTTGAGAAGCACTGTCTAGAGGTGGAACCCAGAATTGTGTTTTTAAAAAGTTCTGCCGGTAATTTTGATAATTAGCTGAGTTTGGAAATCATGTTCCAACAAGAAAACTGTTTTTTTCTTTTTTTTGAGACAAGGTCTCACTCTGTTGCCCAGGCCAGCGTGCAGTGATGTGATCATGGCTCAGTGCAGCCTCAAACTCCCTGGCTCATGTGATCCTCCCGCCTTGGCCTTCTGAGTAGCTGGGACCAGAGGTGTGTGCCACCATGCCTGGTTAATTTTTTTATTTTTTGTAGAGATGTTGCTCAGGCTGGTCTCAAACTCCTGGGCTTAAGTGATCCTCCCATTTCCCAAAGTGCTGGGGTTACCGCTGTGAGTCACTGTGCCCAGCCAAATACTGATACTTTTAATGCTGATCCTGCGTTACTAAGAAAAGTTTAAATTATCTCCAGAATTGTGTTTATGTTTTAGTTTTTTCTCCTTCTTTTATTGCCCTAGTAACATAATACTGAAAGCAAAAGTCGCTCATAACTGCACCTCCCTGACACATTAACAGGTTTAAGAAAATTCCTGTCTTATTTGTATGCACATATATTTTTAAAATTGCAGTAATCAAAGTAATAGACTAAAACTTCGTATATGTATCTTCCATTTGCAAGGTAAAGGGAAAATGTGTGAAACATTTTAGAAAGCTCTGAATCCAAATAGGTTAAAATTGAGGGGCTTAAGGTTTTAAACATTTTTTAATTGGAAAACTCACCTCAAAAATGATGGTGAACAAACTGATTTCACTCTACATTGAAAGACAATTAAAAAGAAATACAGGCTTTCTATCTTCAGCTGATTATCAATGACCCTTCAAAAATCAAACTCTTGGCTCTGAGCTATATATTTTTTCCTAAAGAGAAAAAGAGTCATCTAGTGGTGATTTTCTAGACTATAATCACAGCTCTTCAGTATGTGATAGGATAATTTAAATAATTAATAAAAGCATCCAAGCATTATTAGGCATTAATAATAGCTAGGCATTATTAGAAGTCATTTACTCAGTATTAACTCAGTTAATCTTTTTGAGGACCCTATGAGGCAGGTACTATTTTATTGTAATTTTACCAATGAGGAAACAGAGTTATGGAAGGAAAGGTTAAGTATCTTGCCAGGGTTATTAATATCAAAAAAACTGACCCAAAGGATTATAAATCATTCTACTATAAGGACATATACAAATGTATGTTTATTGTGGCACTCTTTGTAAAACAGCAAAGACTTGGAACCAACCCAAATGCCTATCGATGATAGACTGGATAAAGAAAATGTGGCATATATATACCATGGAATACTATGTAGCCATAAAAAAGGATGAGTTCATGTCCTTTGCAGGGACATGGATGAAACTGGAAACCATCATTCTCAGCAAACTGACACAGGAACAGAAAACCAAACAATGCATGTTCTCACTCATGAGCGGGTGTTGAACAATGAGAACATATGGACACAGAGAGGGGAACATCACACAGTGGGGCCTGGCGGGTAGGGGGCTGGGGGAGAAATAGTAGAGGGTAGGGGTATTGGGAAGGGATAGCATTAGGAGAAATACCTAATGTAGATGATAGGGTGAAGGATATAGCATACCACCACCATGGCACATGTAGACCTATGTAACAAACCTGTGTGATCTGCATGTATACCCTAGAACTTAAAGTATAATTAAAAAAAAAAAACTGATTCAACCTCAGGGGATATGGGAGACAGCTCCAGAACCCAGTTCTTAACTTATTCTGCAATTAGGTTGAACAAGAGAATGCCGTATTGGCAAAGCAGTAACATTTTAATAAAAAAGGCAAATTTGTGAAAAGTGACATCAAACATTGAAAAAGGCAATATAATAAATTCATTTTCTATAGACAAAATATGTGCTCAAAGTTTACTGCCTTAAAAGAAAGTGAGACATAAAAAATAGGAGAGATCGTGGATTTCAAAAATTTTTAGTAACTCAAAGAGTGTATGAGTAAGAAAAGTACATTTTAGGTCAGGCATGGTGGCTCATGCCTGTAATCCCAGAACTTTGGTAGGTCAAGGTGAGCTGATCACCTGAGGTCACGAGTTCGAGACCAGCCTGGCCAACATGGTAAAACCTGGTCTCTACTAAAATTACAAAAATTAGCCGGGCGAGGTGGCGGGTGCCTGTAACACGGCTACTCAGGAGGCTGAGGCAGGAGAATCACTTGAACCTGAAGAGCGAAACTCCGTCTCAAAAAAAAAAAAAAAAAAGAGAAAGAAAGAAAAGTACATTTTAGGATTATCAAAAGTCACTTATATTTTTTTGTTTTACAAAAAGATGAACTGTCTCTTTAAAGAATGTAGTTAGAGGCTGGGCATGGTGGCTCATGCCCCTATAATCCCAGCACTTTGGGAAGCCGAGGTGGATGGATCACCTGAGGTCAGGAGTTCAAGACCAGCCTGGCCAACATGGCAAAACTCCATCTCTACTAAAAAATAGAAAAATTAGCCAGGGGTGGTGGTGGGTGCCTGTAATCCTAGCTACTTGGGAGGCTGAGGTAGAATTGCTTGAACTCAGAAGGCGGAGGTTGCAGTGAGCTGAGATCATGCCACTACACTCCAGCCTGGGTCACAGAGAGAGAGACTCTGTTTCAAAAAAAAAAAAAAAAAGAAAAAAGAAAAGAATGTAGTTAGAACAGGAAGAAATAGGGGATTATTAACCCTATTCTCAAACCTTCTACTGTGACTAGAATCCAAAATATTAATTCTCAATATCAGAAACACTATAAGGGCAGAAAATTTAAATGCTATGGCTTTTGTGTATCAAAAATATAATTTTATAAGTTTATAATATTGCATAACACTAATACGTTAATGGTTAATGCCCAGTTCTTAATATAACTTAATTCTTAACATAAACTATAACATAATTTATTAATATAATTTTTAATACAAGTTATAATAAGAACCGGCCATTAGTAGTAGTTAATGCCCACATTAGCCATTAACATCTTAGTGTTATACAATATAAATATAATTTGGCATAACACTATTGGCTATTAATGGTTACTGTAAATGGTTAGAACTTTTTTTTTTTTTTTTTAAAAGACAGGGTTTCACCATGTTGGTCAGGCTGGTCTTGAACTCCCGACCTCAGGTGATCCGCCCGCCTTGGCCTCCAAAGTGTTTGGATTACAGGCATGAACCACCACGCCCGGCCAGAATGTTTTTTAAATTACAGAATTATTTGATACTAAGTAGAATCTCTAAGTATATGTTTTATTTGGTTGAAACACAAATGAATTATTTGCAAAATAATGTATAGTCCATTTATACATTATTTTGTATAATTCCAGATCTCATCAATAATCTTGGTTATTGAAAGTTAGTACCTTGCACTTTTCGACTTCTTCCTCAATTTTCTCAACAATAGCTGCATCCAGAATTTGTAAATCACAAGAAGAACGAGATAAAGTACTGACAGGATGTCCTTTTAGCCAAGTAATAATTTCTTGAACTTTCTCAGCACTAAAGCAAAAAAAAAAATTTTTTTTAAATTTGATTACAACTTTATCAGGGCAATAAATTATAAAAGACATCAAACTTATACAACAAATAATTAGTGAACTTAATTGGGACTAATTATAAATCTAATACAAATATGGACATGTTATCTCTTAGTAATTTAAAAACACACAAAAAGATTAGTTTAAAAGTATTTGTTGATATAAATGAAAGAAAAATTTTTAAGCTGTTAAAGCAAAAATGAAACAATGTAAAAAAAAAAAAAAGAAGAAGTAAGAAGACACGCCTGTAATCCCACAACTTTGGGAGACATAGGCAGGAGCATCGCCTGAGCCTAGGAGTTTGAGACCAACCTGGGCAACATGAGACTCTGTCACTACTTAAAAAAAAAAAAAAAAATTGCCAAATGTAGAGGCATACACGCCTATAGGCCTATCTACTCAGGAGGCTGAAGTAGGAGGATTGTTCGAGTCCAGGGAACCAAGGCTGAAGTGAGCTATGTTTGAGCCACTGCACTCCAGCCTGGGCAACAGAGTAAGAACCTGTCTCAAAAAAAAAAAAAAGTTATAGTATGAAATTCTTGACAAACCAAGCTGCAACTGCCTTTGGAAATAGTCAAGTGAACTATTAGGTAATAAATACCATTAAAATCTTGCTTACCCATTCTCATTTTCTCCAGGCCAAATGTCATCTTCATAGAACACATCCTCTTGGCTATTTTTGGCTATATAACTAAATAGTTCTGGAGCTCTGGCCAAACAAAGAAAAATAATTGCCTTAAAATATATATGGTTAACTTCAGATAAACTTCTTATGTAATAATTTCAGATCCTAAACAGACATATAAAGCGTATTGAGGACTATTATAATATAACTGAAAGACTGGTAAGTCAGAGTACTCCTAGGCCCTCAAATCTCCCACTGGCTAAGATTCAAGTCATAAACTTCTAATAAACTTCAATTACTGAGTCAACCCTCTTTCATGATAATGACAGCTGATAGACAAAAATGGTATCTACAGGTTCATTTTCTAATTTTTACAACAAAACTAGAGCACTCCACAATACAGCAAATTAAAATCGATTAGAAGCTTCTTCTGATATTCCTCAACACTCCATTTCTTTCTGAAGTGTGCAGGACTTTTGGATACATACAGCAAACTTGACATATGTGCTTATCTTTTGTCCCTCTCCAATCCATTCAAATGACAATATAGTATAAAAAAGAGCACAGGCCGGGCGCGGTGGCTCAAGCCTGTAATCCCAGCACTTTGGGAGGCCGAGGCGGGTGGATCACGAGGTCAAGAGATCGAGACCATCCTGGTCAATATGGTGAAACCCCGTCTCTACTAAAAATACAAAAAATTAGCTGGGCATGGTGGTGCGTGCCTGTAGTCCCAGCTACTCAGGAGGCTGAGGCAGGAGAATTGCCTGAACCCGGGAGGCGGAGGTTGCGGTGAGCCGAGATCGCGCCATTGCACTCCAGCCTGGGTAACAAGAGCGAAACTCCGTCTCAAAAAAAAAAAAAAAAGAGCACAGAACTAGAGAGACAGATGAAAAATGAAGCACAGTATCTGGTGGCATATATAACCCATTAAAATTTTAGAAATTGGAAAATGGATAAATGTTATTGATTTGACAGACAGGAATAAGCTAAACCCTTCGCTACCAGTGGGAGGAGGCAACAAGAAGGAATTTGATTTAAAACACAGAACACTCTAAAAAAAGCTCAGGAATTATAGGTTCCAGGTACATTTGAAAGTGTGGCATGAGGTTTAGTAAGATTTAAAGTTTGTATAAGCAGTTAGAGGGTCATGTGGTTGCCTGCCTATCACCCCAGCATACAACCTGTAACTATATTTTGAAGAGGTCAAATAGGAGATACTCTAGCCTTGTATATGCCAGTCACAGGGAGCTGGGCGTGAGGATGGCACAAGGAGGAGATGACAGGTGTTTTACTGAAAACAGGGAATTAATGAAAGCATAAATACTGTACAATGTGTCACTAGGAAGCAGACTAGGAGGCATAAGGTCTCTAGAAATGGACTCTGCAATGGAAACAAGCATGCACGAAGTTTAGTAGAAAGTGCTTGTGTGATCAACACCTGTGGAAGGGAAGGGAAAGCAGAATTGGGCACAGGGAGAGAGGCTGGGCTGTGATTAATTCTCAATGAATTCCTTGGCCAACCCCACAAAGATCTCAAACTGAAATGGCCCTTCAGACTAGTCTTGAATTGGGGTAACCAGAATGTCTAGGCTTCTATACCTCCTTATAGATCAGGCATTGATCTGTAGCTGTTGTAGGAAGGAAAAGCAACTTTAGGTGAGGCAGTCTTCCTCATCCAGGCAATTATTGAAGAGGGCTCATAGCTGAGGACTGTCAGAAAGCAGCATTCCTGCTGCAGGAAGATAGGTCTTTAAGTCTTGAAACACAATCTGGGAGATGTAGCACAGTATCCACTTTGTAACGAAACCCCCTTTCCCTGGTTAACTTCCAGAATACTGACAATCAGTTTTATCCACTACATTCATATCTATTGCCAAGGAAAAGGCTGGAGGCCACCTCTTGGCGAAAGAAAAGATAAACACGCAAGTAGTGATACTAGGAGGTCCTCTGTAGAAACAGTAAATTCCCACCTGATAAGCCCTACCTAAGTACACTAAATTTCCAATCAGCTTTTTAGTGCCTCATTCTTAAATATGATTGGGTATCAAATAATCACCAGATAAGAACAACAATAAAAAACTTTAACATGAAAGAGAGACCAAATCAAACAGGAAGAATAAAAGCTATTGGAGAAAACAGAAAACACAAAAAACAGAAGGAATCCTAGAATCATCTTCAGAGAAATAAATGAAGATATTCCATTTACTGTAAGAACAAGATGCTATATATAGCCAGAGAATAAGGACATACTTTTAGTAAAAAATGATTAAATCAAATAGAAATTTTAAATGATAAACAATAAACTTGAAAAGATTTCCCAGAGTAGAACAGAAGTATAACAATATAGGAAATGGATGAGGAGAGAGAAAACGAAGAGGATTAATCCAGAAGGTTTAAGATTTAACTAAAGGGATACCCAGAAATAGAAAGCGGAAAAAAATAGTGAGGAGAAAATTATCAAAGAAATAATACAAGACAGAGTCTCAGAATGGAAGGGCATCAGTTTCAAGCCTGAAAGGGATGAACAGAAGAAAGGGAAAAAAAGATCCATACCAAGGCACACATCCTCACATTATTAAAGACCACCAGTAAAGGAAAAGTGCTAAAAATATTTCAGAAAATAAAAATAGATCACATATAGAAATTCAGAATCAGAATGGCGAAGGTTTTATCAATAGCTATATGGAAATGAAATGAGAATGGAATAGTGCTTTCAAAATTCTGAGGGAAGTCTGGGTGTGTCGGCTCATGCCTGTAATCCCAGCACTTTGGGAGGCCGAGGCAGGCAGATCATTTGAGGTCAGGGGTTTGAGACTAACATGGTGAAACCCCATCTCTACTGAAAAAAAAAAAAAAAAAAAAAAAAAAAGTATAAAATTTAGCCAGATGTGATAGCAGGTGCCCATAATCCCAGATACTTGGGAGGCTGAGGTAGAAGAATCACTTGAACTGGGGAGGCAGAGATTGCAGTGAGCTGAAATCATGCAGCACTCCAGCCTGGGCAACAGGGCAAGACTGTCTTAAAAACAAAAACAAAAACAAAATTCTGAAGGAAAATAATCTTCAATCCAGGATTCTATACCCAGGCAAACTAACAATCAAGTGCAGGAGAAGAATAAAGACATCTCTAGACATACAAGTTTCCTCAGAAGCTACTAAAGTACGTATTCCATCAAAATGGAGATATAAATCAGAAAGAGTGAGGTATGAGAGTCAGAAAATGAAGGAATCCTATATGGCTGACTGGTGAAGAGAACTGAGTTTCTAGGATGACAGTACTGGGAAACTCCAGAATGAGAGACGCACAACAGCCCTAGAGAGCAATCAGTTCAAACGGAAGCAGGAAGACAGAAAGTTTCAAAGACGACTTGAGGAAAATGGAACTGAGCAATGACCTCATCTGTTTGACCACACTGAGTTTTACAGTGGCAGAGATTAGGGCTGAATTTGTTATGTGCAAGCAGCAAATGAAAAAACAGCAGAGAAAACAAAAATGTGTACAAAAAAGGAAACATCATCTTAATACTCCATAAGGTCGAGCTGTGAACATTTACTTCATTATAATGAAGTAAATCTTTAATAAAGACTTAATTAAAAATCTTGATAAAACTTTAGTGAGAGGGGAAGTATGTGTGTGAGGGAATCCAGTGTGGTGGTAGTCAAAGAAAGCTGAAGCTCAGAGTAGGAAAGCCACTCATAGTAGAAAATCCATAAATACATTAAGTTGAAAAATTAAGAAAAAGTAGTTTAAATATGACCTTTTCAAGAAATAAGAAAGTGGACAGACAAACAATCTACATTTCCAGATGGTAATATGGGAATGAATCGTGTCCTGCCCCACTCAGAAATTACAGAATGTGACTTTATTTGGAAACTGGGTTTTTAGTAGAGGCAGTCAAATAAAATGTGGCCATTAGCATGGGGTCTAATCCAATATAACTGGTGTCCTTATAAAAAGGGGAAATTAGGACACAGAGGCAGGGAAATAAAGATGAAAAATTATGTGAGACACCCAGCAAGAACATCATGTGCAATTTCCTAGATAATTTCAGCAACAGAATTCAATAATTCTAGGATAGTAACCTGTGCAGCTACATAGTTCTAAGAATCAGAAAAATCCACTATGCTAAGAACTTTGTTTATCCATACCAGTCCTCTCAGTAATGACACAGGTATGCGAAGTAGTGGACAATTTATGACAGTAAGTTAAGAAAATTTTAACTAAGGAAGTCAATTCTCATTGTATTTTTTCTTTTTAATAATATGGTATTTTTTTACTCTATTTTAGCTAGTGGCTATGACATTCCATGATGCAAAATTAAGTCTACATATAACATATGCCAGATTTTACCAATGGAAAATTTGTCCTCTAAAACTAATGTCAGCAAGGCAAAATAAACAGTATTTTCCTAAGATTTTGGATGTCTACTAGGATCTTATTAGGTACTTACCTCTCTAAGTACTCTGCCAGTAGTTGCTCTGCTGCAGATGAATACATCCATTCACTTCCAACTTTCTTAGTATATCCAGGTACCTCCTCATTTTTCTTGTTGAATTTGAGATTTAAACCCACATTTGCTTTATGGTCTCCATGAGGGCTGAATTTAAACCATATATGCACGCATGCACAGACACACGCACACACACACATGCACGCACACACAGACACACACACACACACACACACACACACATACCAGTTTTAAAATGTTGTTCAAGGAATAAAAGGTTTTGCTTTCAATTCTTAGAAAACTTCAGTTTTGATTATTCCTCTATATTTTAGTTATTATGGTTATTTCCACAGTAGCAGTAATTGAAAAACTAGAAGAAAAGCTTCAAAACCCAAGTTAACAAAGCATGTAAATAAATTATGTAATTATAAAGGAAAATGAAAAAACGAGATGCAAGGAAATATACTATTGAGGTTCACACACACCCTCTGATACCTTTTTTCAAGGTTCAATTTGTTAGCTGCTAAAAAATAAGAACTGTCTTTTCCAACCACCTAAAACATGTGCCATTCAGATGAAAGATTACCATCAGAGAAATTTATGCATAATTTTAAGACAATTCAGAGCAATTAATAAGAAAATACTGAAATATTAAGCATTTAATCTTTATCATTTAATTTTTCTGCCACTTTAAGTAAATTTCTCTAACATAAACTTACTTTCTCCTAGATCCTCTTCCAATAAAAATACTTCCTGTAAACCTTGAAACAAGGTATCCACTCACTCCAAGGCGACTGGCCAACACATATCCTGGGTTGTACTTTATAGAATATTTCTTTAAATATAAAAACAAAAAGGTCAATTATGGAAACACAAGTTTACATTAAATGTTATTTCTTTACCTTTAAAATCTGGAGATAATCAAGACATCACTAACCATTGGATTGTGGCAATATAAGGATTCTCACTTAGATCCATTTCCCCTTTTTTTTGAAAGGATCTGTAGGCAGAATTTTTCTGCTCCTCTCTCTTTCTCCTTAAAGGACAGAATTCCCAAGGATGGATAAAAGGGGGGAGGAAATATACAATTTGTGAAACTGTCTCAAGAAATAAACTCTACTGTAAGTACTAAATGGCAAACTCCACAGGCAAGTTTTTTGTTTGTTTTTGTTTCTACTAATTTTCATATTCCAAGCAGGGCCTAGCAAAGTACTTGGGACAAAATGAGGCCTGAGTAATTACTAGACTAAATTAAAAAATAGGTTCATCATCAAAATAGTTGCTACTGAGAAAAATTAACTGTCCTTCATACATGGATATAAGTAATATTCTCTTCCCCCAATATTTACTATCATATGAAAATATACAAGTATGTATAGACCTATAATTAGTACAGTCAATTAAATGTAACCTTAATTTATATATTTAAGGGAAGAAAACATATTGTCACATTAAAAGAAAAAGTAACAGATCATACAATATTTAACCAGGAAGCAAATGATTCATGAATCCAATACTAACTAGGATAAACTACCATATACTCCTAACATCATGTACATAAAAATAAAACATACTTAAGAAAGTCATCAGATTTGGCAATAATATACTACAAATCAGGTATGCTTTCCAGAATAGATGGAAGAATAAGGTAGTAGGTCTCAATCATAAGTAGCAACACTTTTCTAACAAGCATATGGAAATGTGTAGAGGCACATTTAATTACAATAATTGGCATGGGCTACTAGCACTTAATGCCCTTGAGCCAAAGATGCCAACTGTTCTGCCATATACAAAACAACTGCATTTAATACATAATTGTCCTGCCCAAATTGCCAATAGTACTCCTTTTGAGAAATAATGGGTTTTGCTGTAATTTAAAACTAATTAAAACAATCACAAACATCCTAGAAAATATAAAATAAGCTGAGAATACTGTGGTAGAAAAATAATGCAGCTTGAGTGAATGTAAAAAGAAGGAAACTAAACTGGAGAAGGCACGCCCATCAATACTGCATACTATTATACAAGAGGACAGGCTCCTCTAGATCTAGAAAGAGCTGGGGAGGAAGGAACACAAGTCCTTTAAGCTTCACTGATTCCCAGAACAAAACTCAGCTACTTTATCTAATGGGCCACTCTCCTGGCTTCCTGACTATGCTGTCTAAATTTGTTCTTCCACAGGCACCAGATGGTAAGATTTTAGGAATGACTGCCTTTCATACATAAAGTTTCCTAACGGGTTTAGTGATACCTAATGCCCTAAATTCATTTCACAGGAAGAAAGCTTTAGATTTTACCATTAGTGGGGGGAAAAAGCCTAAGTAGCTGGCTGACTGTGAATTTGTTTTAGCTAAGTTAATTATCCAGCCAATAAATAAGAACAAATGACAGTAACAGAACCTTCCCTCTATTTTAACAAGAGAAAAGAAAGCCACTGGAAATTTTTGGTGAGGAAGTTCTGAAAAAGATGCTGTGAACTTAAAGCAATTTCCCAATATTCTTTAGGGTTGAGATTGTTCATTCTTAGCTGAGTAGATACATACAACCTTTGCAGAAACCCACATTTGTCATTTGCAACTAAAAATGTGGGCTCTGAATTATTATTAAAAGTTTAAAACACATAAATCTATTCCCAGAGGGTATGCTAATCAATGTGCCTCTCCTAAGCTTGAACACAATAATGCATAACAATCACTACAAATCAATAATGAGATTTCAGTGATTTTTCCCCCATAAAGATCTACATAAATTTTTGAGCACAGATTCCACACTTATTTTTAAATAATACTAGATGCAACTGGGAGAGAGAATCTAATCAGTATTAAATATAATATTTAAAATAAATTCAAAGGAAGTAGTAAAAATATTCTAGTATTTTAAAAGTTTATCAATTCTAACTGAAATAATACAAACTACTGTACTCACATGCTGGTTCTGTATTAAAGCATCAAGATTTGGTTCACATGGAATGCTGAAAATGACACGAATCCTACCTTCTGTAATCACATCACCTGAATCCTGAACCTTAGGGGAAAAAAAAAACAATGTGTATTTTAGTTTCTTGCAGAATATTTTATTTTTTAACTTATTTGAACACTTATTATTTTTTAAATATATTATGACAAGTTGGACAGTGAATATTCTCTTGAAATTTCTAAGTGGGTATAATACTGTAAATTTTCATCACTGTAATATTGCTTTAATGGTTCTTATTAATCTTTTCTTTTTGAGACAGAATCTCATTCTGTCTCAAGAGATCAGGTGCATTCAGGGTGGTATGGCCGTAGACAGGCTCTCACTCTGTCCTTCAGGCTAAAGTGGTGGGATCAAGGCTGACTGCAACCTTGAACTCCTGGGCTCAAGCGATCTTCCTGCCTCGGTCTCCCAAAGTGGTAGGATAATAGTAGGTGTAAGTCATTGCATCTGGCCAATCTTTTTTTTTTTTTTTTTTTTTTTTGACAACATGGTCTTGCTCTGTCATCTTGGCTGGAGTGCAGTGGTGCTATCATGGCTTTCTGGCTTGCAGCCTTGGCTTCCTGGGCTCAAATGATCGTCCCACCTCAGCTTCCCAAGTACCCGGAACTACAAGTGTGCGCCACCAAGCCCTATTCATTTTTGGCAGAGAAAGGATTTTGCCATGTTACCCAGGTTGGTCTCAAACTCCTGGTCTCAAGCAATCTCACCCACCTTGGCCTCCCAATGTGCTGGGATTACAGGTGTGTGCCACTGTGCTTGGCCCAATCACTCTTTTTTAAATTAACTTTTTATTTGCAAATGATTTCAAAGTACCAAAAAGTTGCAAAACTACAAACACTACAAAGAACATATTTATGAACACTACAAATGAAAACATTTATCCAGGCTCGGTGTGGTGTCTCACGCCTGTAATCCCAGCATTTTGGGAGGCTGAAGAAGGTGGATCAGTAGAGGTCAGGAGTTCAAGATCAGCCTGGCCAACATGGCAAAACCCAGTCTCTACTAAAAATGCAAAAATTAGCCAGGAGTGGCAGTTCATGACTATAATCCCAGCTATTTGGGAGGCTGAGGCAGGAGAATCATTTGAATCCAGGAAGTGGAGATTGCAGTGAGCACAGATCTGCCACTGTATTCCAGCCTGTGTAATACAACCAGATTTTGTCTCAAAAAATAAAAAGAAAAAGAAATTATCCAGATTCACCTGTTGTTAGCATTGTAAAACAAATGGCTCTAACATTTGTGTACTGTGTGTGTATTTATATATACATAGTTATCTTTCTGAACCCTTTTAGTATATATTACATATATCATGTCCCTGACCTCTAAATATTTGTTTATATTTCCTAAGATAGATATTTTACTATATAATCACAGTATAGTTATTAGGTATATAAATTTATGTTAACATAATACTTTTATCCAAGCTATCATCCATATTCCAATTTTGTCAGTTGACCTAATAATGTCCTTTATAGAACTCTTTTCTTCCTTTATTACAGGATCCAGACTATGATCAGATATTATATTTGTTTATCTCTAGCATCCTGTAATCTAAAATGTATCCACTGCCTTTCTTTGTTTTTCATAACACTGACCTTTCAATTTTATGTTAAGTCATTGCTTTTTTTGTATTTTTTTTTTTAGACAGAATCTCACTGTGTCATCCAGGCTGGAGTGCAGTGGTGTGATCTCAGCTCACCACAACCTCTGCCTCCCAGGTTCAAGCAATTCTCATTTTCAGCCTCTCAAGTAGCTGGGATTACATGCACGTGTTATCATACCCAGATAATTTTATACATTTAGTAAAGATGAGGTTTTGCTGTGTTGGCCAGGCTGGTCTCTAACTCCTGGCCAGAATACTGCATAGATGATGTGTCCTTCACAGGGTATTACATCTGGAGGTACACAACGTTCGTCTCTTTTAATGCAATGCTAACTTTGATTATACCATCAAGATGTTGCTCAATTTTTTCCCTGCATAATTACAGTTTTTGTTTCCCTTGCAGCAAACTAAAATAGTCTGTAGGAAATACTAAGACCGGGCAAATATCCTGCTCCTGATTAAAAAAAAAATTCCCCCTAGATTTACTTCCCAATGATGATTCTTACATGATTCAATCCTCATCATAATGGTTGCAAAATGGTTTTTCAACTGCAGCACTCTCTCCAAATTTACTTCTGACATGCTACTATCAAGAAGAGCCCTTCCTTTCCCTATTTATCCTTTTACTATCACTATAGAATCATGAATTCCTGTCTCCCCCTTAATGGTTAATAATTCATTACTGAATTTAAATATTTTGTCACTCAAAGTATCCAAGATTTGGCCAGTGGTAATACCTTTAACCTGGTTCCTGTGTTTACATGACAAACTCCTAGCATTCTTTTGAGCACTTCCTTACTTTCTGGCATAAAAAGATGTTTCAGGTTCATCTTGTGTCCTCCCTGCCCCAGATCCAGAATCAGCAATTTCTCTGAAAAGTCCTTTTCCTTTTAGTAAGGTATGAAATTAGAGGTTAAGATCTGGGTGGTACATGTGCTCATTGTGCTAAGGTGTCTTTGCTTCTTATCCCTTTGAGCAAATACAGCTAGAAAATACATGTACGTATAGAACATATGCATACATGTATATGCACACACACATACACATGTGCCTATATACACAGATATACAAACATATACATATTATTTTAGAAACCATGAGTTCCCACTAATATGTCCAAATCTGACCTTATGGGTTCTTTTTTGCTTTCTCTCATTCCACATTTGCATATCCCCTTTTCCCTTTAGAAACTGAAGTTCCTCAAATAAGAACACATTTACAAATTCACTCAAGCTTATTACATGTTTAAAAGAGTTTCGAATTTGCTTCATCCATACCCCTACAATAAACAAAATTGCTTAAAAAAAAGAGATCAGCATGTGAACATACCACCTCTTGATCCTAATCTGCTCAAGACTAAAGCTAGATAGTCTTTAGTCTTAGATATACAGTCTTTAGATATATGTCAAATACTGTGTTCATAAGTTATATGGATAAATTCTTTTTTATTTTTTTCCTTCATTATTATATTTTAATTTAAACCTAAATGAACAGAAGGTAAATAACTGCTTGAAACTAGAGAAAAATGTATCAGTAACAATAATGGAAACTAACTTCTCCAGTGCAGCCATAATAGGGAGTTCCCAGCATAAAGACCATACTTCTCAGAGGAAACAAATCATCCAATGTTTTGATATTGGAGAAACGGGAGTCAAAAGCTCGGATGTCCTACATAAAATGAAATACAAAAGTAAATCATCTTAGTCAAAATTTCCATAGATGGCATATCAAGTTTTTTTCCCATGGGATCATGACTATGCTGTTTATAAATGTCAATGTGAAGATTTTTCTACATAATGCTAACAGCTAAATTTTGACTGGTTATATGGCAGGCACTCTTCTATATGCTTCATACATCTGCTGAGTTTATTTCATCCTCAAGACAAACCTCTGTGGCAGAGACCATTATTAGCCTCACTATACAGATGAGAAAATGGGGCACAGAATGGGGATGAATCTTGTCCAAGGTCATGCAGCTAAGAAGCCAACTCAGGTAGCCAGTGCTCTGAGTCACTTAGTCACTATACTGTAATATAACACCACAAATTATAGGATCACTACATACTTAACAATTTTTTGTCCTCTTATCATATCTAAGATTATAAACACAAAAGCAAATGCCTTTTGTATTTATTAGATTATTTAAGGCAAATATTTTTGAAGAATAAAAATATAAAATTCAAGGGTGTAAGTTAATGCTGGGATTTTTTCTTTTAGAGACGAAGTCCTTAAAAAAGGATAAAAGACAAGTTTCCTAACTACAAATAGTGAGTGTTTGAGGATGTAATACTTCTTATAAAGAATAAGGTATTTTGTAAATTATATTAAATAATCTCTATTATACATTGCTGAATTAGTTTATTTATATTAATATGTCATCTTTTGGTTATACAATGTATAATAGTGTACATTAAGATAGAATTGAAACTTGATATAGACTCACCTTGACAACAGTTTGATAAACAAAAGGAACAACTTGTTTTGACCACTGTTTCTCTAGACGAACTTCACCATTTTGATTTATTTGATATTTACGACCTGTGAGTAACTGACCATACACAACTGCAGATGTCTCATTTATTATTATTCCTTTTCTTCTCAGGTAACTAAAAGAAAGAAAAATGAAATATATATACGAATGAGTATGCAGATATTCTAGGACGATAATCACCATCTAAACTATCAACTCATAATCAAATGTGTAAATAAACTTAATTTTTTTTTTTTTTGAGATGGAGTTTTGCTCTTGTTACCCAGGCTGGAGTGCAATGGCGCGATCTCGGCTCACCACAACCTCCGCCTCCTGGGTTCAAGCAATTCTCCTGCCTCAGCCTCCTGAGTAGCTGGGATTACAGGCACGTGCCACCATGCCCAGCTAATTTTTTTGTATCTTTAGTAGAGACGGAGTTTCACCATGTTGACCAGGATGGTCTCGATCTCTTGACCTCGTGATCCACCCGCCTCAGCCTCCCAAAGTGCTGGGATTACAGGCTTGAGCCACCGCGCCCGGCTTAATTTTTAAATTTTTTTTTTAGATGGAGTCTTGCTCTGTTGCTCAGGCTGGAGTGCAATAGCACAATCTCGGCTCACTGCAACCTCCACCTAACGGGTTTAAGCAATTCTACTGCCTCGGTCTCCTGAGTAGCTGGGACTACAGGCGCATGCCACCATGTCAGGCTAATTCTTGTATTTTTAGTAGAGACAGGGTTTTACCATGTTGGCCAGGATGGTCTCAATCTCTTGATCTTGTGATCTACCTGCCTTGGCCTCCCAAAGTGCTGGGATTACAGGCATCAGCCACTGCACCCAGCCTAAATATGCTAGCAGTTTTACATACTTCACTTGAGACTTTTTATATTATTTATTTTACTCTGTGGATACTTCTCCAACTGTCTATGTGATTAAATAAGAACTCATAGAGCTATAAGAAACTCCTGTTCTCACATCCCCTAGGATGGCGATAATTAAAAAATAGTGAAAAAAATAAGTTTTGGTGATGATGTTGAGAAACCGGAACATTTGTACATTGCTGGTGGAACTGTAAAATGGTGCAGCTGCTGTGGAAAACAGTTTGGCAGTTCCTCAAAAAGCTAAACATATAACTAACACATGACCCAACAATTCTACTTCTAGGTATTCCAATCCCCCCAAATTGGAAACAGGTACTCAAGCAAACATTGATACACAAATGTTCATAGCAGCACTATTCAAAGAGTCAAAATGTAGAAACAATTCAAATGTTCACAAATGAATGAATGGATAAACAAAAGGTGGTATAGCCGTACAATGGAATATCATTCAGCCATAAAAAGGAATAAGCACTGACATATGCTACAATGTGTATGAACCTCAAAGCATGCTAAATGAAGGAAGCCTGACACGAAAGGCCATATATCATATGATTCCATTTACATGAAACATCTAGAATAGGTAAATACATGAAGACAGCAAATATAATAATAGAGGTGGCCAGGAGTATGTGATGGCCTTTCCAATCTAAAGCAATTCAGACAGCCTCCTGTTCCTTTAGATAAAAGTTTACTGGAACATAGTTGTCCATTCACTTCCTGTCTATGGCTGCTTTTGTGCTACATAGTAAAGTTGAGTAGTCGTAATAGGCATTGTAAAGTCTACAAAGCCTAAAATATTTATTATCTGGCCTTTACAGAAGAAGTTTGCAGATCCTTGATCTAAATATGTAATCATTCTTCATTAAGGAATATTTTCTTATCTCCTTTCCATTTTCTCTTTCTAGAATTCTTTATGTGAAGTACTGTGAATAGTATTTTTTCCAATTAAAGGAGTCTTATTTTAAATTAAAATAATAACTATTCATTCAAACAAACAATTACTGAGTGCTTATGCATGAACAAATAAATTAGAATAAAGAGGTGACAAAAACAGGTATGCTCTCTATCCTTATGGAGCATAGTATCTAAAGAAAGAGTTATTAATCATACAAGTAAGCTTATTGTTATGGTTTTATTTATGTGCTACAAAAGACAATTTAGAATGATATAAACTATGATGGGGTATCTAATTTATACTGTTGGGAGGTAAAAATATGTTCTACCGCCGGGCGTGGTGGCTCAAGCCTGTAATCCTAGCACTTTGGGAGGCCGAGGTGGGTGGATCACGAGGTCAAGAGATCGAGACCATCCTGGTCAAAGTGGTGAAACCCCGTCTCTACTAAAAATCCAAAAAAATTAGCTGGGCACAGTGGCGCGTGCCTGTAATCCCAGCTACTCAGGAGGCTGAGGCAGGAGAATTGCTTGAACCCAGGAGGCGGAGGTTGCGGTGAGCCGAGATCGCGCCATTGTACTCCAGCCTGGGTAACAAGAGCGAAACTCCGTCTCAAAAAAAAAAAAAAAAAAAAAATATGTTCTACCTCTGGAGAGCTATGTTTATCTCCTTTGGTGTTGGATGGTTTCTCATGGTCTTTGAATGTTTTCCCTGTTTATTCATCTTTGAATAAGGATATTATGGCCTGGTATTGGCCCCAAAATTAGAGAGAAGGAGTATCCTGAATTCTCCAAAAGCTTATCCACGGATAAAAAGGCTGATGAATATACATTTAATAAAACATTGCATGCACCACTGCCAACCTCTCGAATTCTGCTTTTGTTTTAGGAATTCTAGTATATAGATAGCAAAAGAAAGACGCTGTTGAGATGGGATTATGGGACACAAACCAGAGGGTGATCCTGAAAACCAGCATTCCAAGGTGGTTTAGCGTCTCAGTTTGGCTGCATTCTAAGTCCTGGGGAATATGGAGCTTGGGTGGAAGAGAATAAAGAAAATGGGGAATGGGAGAAGATGAGAAACAAAAGAGGGTTTTTCTTTCAATTTTCATGACTTACAGGTGGTCAAAAAATTCAGTGGCCTTACACTGTTAGTGAAAATAGCTCTCAAAATCAGGCAATATATTAAGTGCTATTCCTAGTATTACATGATTGTGTCATGTTCTATAGTTCATTAAGTATTTCAGTAACAAACTGGGCAAGGCTATAACTACTGCTAACCAGATATTATTTTAAATTAGAACTTACTACTTTCTTTCAAACTCAGTATAAAGGTATAATTAGTATTCAGAGTAACTACTATGTTAAGGGGAAAATAAGTTAGAGAATGAGTACATTAAAATGGATTTTAGTTCTATGATATTAAATACTTTTAATGACACTCACTGTTCTGAAATTCCTTGTATTTCTTTTGCCCAGTTAGATTGTTCTTTATCTCCAAGATGGATCACTTTGGATGGTGGGGCACTTCTTCCTAAGTAAAGCTTCTGTGTTCCTGGAGGTTCTTCCAAGTAAAACCTTAAAAGTTAAAAATTATATAACCAAAATGTTCTGGTTTAATATAGAGTTCTAGCAGTGTGCCTCTTCCACATGAAGTATTTTTTCACATGGCATAATAGCAAAAAAATCCTACAAATGTACTGTAAATTACAGAACTATAATCATTACAGTTCCTTTTATAAAGTATAATATAAATTACAGAACAAGGGCTTGTTAAAAATTTCATTCAAATTTTAAAAGCATGGAAGTGCAGAGGAGGAAGAAGAAAAGCTGGTTAATACAAAGTTAGATAGAAGTAATAAGTTCTAGTGTTCTATAGCAACAGTAGGTTGACTATAGTTAACAATTTAGTGTATTTTTGAAAATACCTAGAACAGACTCAAAAGGTTCCCAACACAAAGAAGTAAGTGTTTGAGGTAACAGATATCCTAATTACTCTAATTTGAAAATTACATGTTATATACATGGATCAAAATATCACATGCATTCTATAAATACGTACAATTATTACGTATCAAAAAAATTTAAGGTTGGGTGTGGTGCCACATGCCTGTAACTGCAGCACTTTGGGAGGCCAAGGTAGTAGGACTGATTAGGGTTAGAAATTCAAGACCACCCTGGCAACATATTGAGACCCTGTCACTACAAAGAAAAAAAAATATGCAAGGCATGGTAACACATATCTGTAGTCTCTACTACTCGGGAGGCTGAGATGGGAGGACCACTTGAGCCCAGGAGTTTGAGGCTGCAGTGAACTATGACTGCCAGTGCACTCTAGCCTGGGTGACAGGGCAAGACCTGGTCTCTCCCAGTCAGTCAGTCAAAACAATTTAAAAGCAAATAGAAAGTTTTTTTTTTTTTTTTTTTAAAGAGAAGGGGTCTCATTCTGTCACCCAAGCTGGAGTGCAGTGGAGTGATCATAGCTCATTGCAGCCTCAAACTTTTGGGCTCAAGCAAACCTCTTGCCTCAGCTTCTTGAGTAGCTAGGACTACAGGTGCACACCACTATGCCTGGCTAATGTTTTTATTTTTTGCAGAGACAGAGTCTCACTATGATGCCCAGGCTGGTCTTGAACTCCTGGCCTTAAGAGATCCTCCCACCTTGGCCTTGCAAAGTGCTGAGATTACAGGTGCGAGCCACCACATCTGGCCCCTATAAAGTATTTTAGCCAAAAAAATTTAACCTGAATCGAATCAAGTGACTAGCCCTAACTTCCAGCTTACAGGAAATATGTGGGATAGAGGAAGAAGTTAAATGACACTAAGAGGAAACAACAGGGTAAATCCAGAATTCTACAAAATAACTGGCTGTCCTCAACTCTACAAATAAAAGAAAATATATTCTAAGATATAAAATCAATATAAAAAAATCAATTATATTTTTATGTACTAGCTGGGGAAACAAATTTATAACATTCATATTTACTCCAAGAAAAATTACATACTTACCTATAAGTCTAACAAAACATGTACCTGATCAGTTTGATGAAGAAAAAACACTGATGAAAGAAATCAAAGATCTAAATAAATGAAGAGATATATTGTGTTCACGGATAAGAATATTCAACATAGTTAAAGCTCCCTGGCTTGAGCTATAGGTTTAATACAATTCCTATCAAAATCCCTCCAAGATTTTTTGGAGATATAGGAAAACTCTAAAATTTATATAAAAAGTCAAAGGATCTAAAATAGCTAAAACAATTCTGGAAAAAAAACCAAAAAACAAAAAACGTAAAGTTGAAGGAATCACACTACCTGATATTAAGACTTACAACACAGTAATCAAGCAATGTGTTATTGGCATAAAAACAGACAATGGAAGAAAATGGAGAAATCAGAAATAGACCCACATAAACATGGCCAACTAACTTGTGACAAAGGTGCAAAACAATCCAATGGAGAAAGCAGTCTTTTCAAAAAATGATGTTGGAGCAACTGAATATTCAAAGAGAAATATATGAAACTAGATCTAAACCCTATATCTTATAGAAAAATTAATTCAAAATGGATTACTGATTTCATGTAAAATAAGGTAAACCTATAAAACTTTTCAAAGAAAATATCAAAGAAAATCTTTAGAAACTGGGGCTAGATTAAGGGCTTTCAGGCTGGGCGCCGGCGGCTCACGCCTGTAATCCCAGCACTTTGGGAGGCCAAGGTGGGTGGATCACCTGAGGTCAGGAGTTCAAGACCAGCCTGGCCATCATAGTGAAACCCCATCTTTAAAAAAAAAAAAAAAAAAAAAAAAAAAAAAGAGCTCTCAGACATGACACCAAAAGCATAAAACAATTAATAAATCAAATTTCATCAAAAAGGTAGGGAAATTAAATTCTGAAGATTAAAAAACAATCTTCGAGATTTCATACACAAAAGCAGATACCAAAAAAGGAAAAAACAGTATTGGCAGTGACTGCTCATCAACAATATTACATAAAATACCACAACGGAGAGATGTATGCAGAGCTCTAAGAGAAAAGAAAAAGAAAATGGGCCTCCAAAATTCTAAACCTGTATGTGAAAAAAAAAAAAAGTGTAATAACTCAAAAAGTGTAATAACTCAAAATCAAAAAACAAAGTATCTACCCATCTTCTCTGAAAAAAATTTATTTCAGAAAATTCTAGCCATATGAAAAATAAAATATAAGAAATCAAGAAGACAAAGTTTCTATAAAATAATGGTTAAAAATGACAAAAAATAATCTAAATATTTACTGATATAAATGATTGTGAATTTCAACAAAATGTTAAGATTTTTTTTCTTAGAACAGAAAGAAACCCAGGTGCGGCAGGGTAAAGGGAAGGTTACATACGTTGTTAATTCTTGTCAGAAAGAGAAATGTATTTGCTAATTAACATAATGATAACCACTTCTAGAAAATAATTAGGATATAGAACTTCCAAGCAGTTAAAAGGGAAGAAAGTAGGGCCGGGCGTGGTGGCTCACACCTGTAATCCAAGAACGTTGGAGGCCAAGGTGAGAGGATCACCTGAGGTCAGGAGTTCAAGACCAGTCTGACCAACATGGTGAAACCCTGTCTTTAAAAGAAAAAAGAAAAAAAAAAAAAAAAAAAAAAAAAAAGGAAGAAAGTAACATATGCAACTAAAATATCTCAAGAGAGGTAAAATAAACTGTCAGTAATGTTTGAACTTCAAGTGCTGCCACTAGCTGACTTTCATTTTTGGTATAGAGTGTAAATGTTCTCAACATAATTTTGGCAGTTAAAAAAATGAATCAATAAAAGCCATCCAAGTAACAAAGCAAATATATGTTAGAAAAATTATGAATCACATCTTACTTACTTAGTTTCTCCATCTGATACAGCCACAACTCTAGCTTCCTCAAGGTGAGGCCAATTAACAAAGACAGATTTTCCAAGCACTGATGAAGCTACATTTTCTATGATCTTAAAGTAAAAGCAGAAAAGTTCATTCACGATTTCAGGTCCAAGAGAAAATTTTACATAGGCAAAACTTTTCAGTCTCCATTTGTTTTTTAAATTCTAAAATGAACACGTTGGGGCCGGCTGTGGTGGCTCACACCTGTAATCCGAGAACTTGAAGTCCAGAGTTCAAGACCAGCTTGGCAAATATGATGAAACCCCGTCTCTACTAAAAATACAAAAATTAGCCAGGTGTGGTGGCACATGCTGTAGTCCCAGCTACTTGGAGGTAGAGGCAGCAGAACTGCTTGAACCCAGGAGGTGGAGGTTGCAGTGAGGTGAGACTGCGCCACTGCACTCCAGGCTGGGTAACAGAGCAAGGTTCCATCTCAAAAATAAATAAATAAAATGAACAACTGGATTAGTTACTTTACAAAATTCAATCTTCCATCCAGGTGTAAAATTCTGTCATTCTAATTAGGCTCAAGATTATCTTGCTTATTTTTTTATGGTATCTGAGAAAAGTAAAAAGAACAGCAGAAATATCTAGGAAAGAACATTGTTTCATATCAAATAGTCAATTATTTAAAAGCGGATCTAAGAAATACAATCTCATTTTAGTTTATGGCTGGTGTGATGAAAAAATAATATTAGACTTAAAATCAGGAGACATGGGTCCAAATTTGGGTTCTACTACTTTTTCAGCTATAGAATCTTTGGTATATCATTTAATCCCCCTGAGTCTCAGTTTTCTTTTATGAGAAAAAAGAAGAACATCTACCTTACAATGTTGAGGATAAAAGAAAATCATATATGTGAAAGCTTTCATAAACCATAAAATGATCTATAAATATTCTGTAGGAAATAATATCTTAAGTAAAAAATTCTAGTTTTAAGAAACTGTATTATCAGATTCAATTTAACCATGTTGGCTGAACAACAACAACTCTGTGGTAGAAACTGAAGTTTAAATACAAATTTTCATTCAACTTTTTTGTTTATTATCCTTAATCATTACTAACAATTTATTTTAACAATTAGAGACAAACTATTTTTAGACTTTTTTGGGGTAACTTTTATTTTGATATTTAGATATTTCTTACTTTGAACATATAAAACAATAGAATAACTATTCTGATAAATAAAACAATTTTAACATTGAAACTAGGCTCCCTCAGTTATCCTTTTCCCTTCTATATATCTATTTCTAAATTCATTCTCCCACTTTTCCCTTTAGTTTCTGAAGAAATAGTTGCCTTCCTTTCCCAGATTAATCCTTTTATTTAAGCTCTAGGTGAAATCCCTTATTACACTTACATGGGGTCCTGTCATGATAAACATCCTTTCCCTCTACACCACCTTTAAAACTTCCTTTCTCCATGGATTTTGCTTTATCAGCTGCATCTTCTCTTACCTACAGTTATGTTTCTAGCATCCCTTTCAATGATAAACTTCTTGGCCAGGCATGGTGGCTTACACCTGTAATCCCAGCACTTTGGGAGGCCCAGGTAGGTGGATCACCTGAGGTTGGGAGTTTGAGACCAGCCTGGCCAACATGCTGAAACTCTGACTCTATTAAAAACACAAAAATTAGCTGGGCATGGTGGCAGGTGCCTGTAATCCCAACTACTCAGGAGGCTGAGGCAGGAGAATTACTTGAACCCGGGAGGTGGAGGTTGCCATGACCCAAGATTGTGCCACTACACTCCAGCCTGGGTAACAGAGTGAGACTCTGCCTCAATAAATAAATGATGGAGAGAGGACCCAAGACGGCCGACTAGGAACAGCTCAGGATTGCAGCTCCCAGTGAAAGCGCAGAAGGTGAGTGGATGCCGCATTTCCAGAGAGATTTTTATTGCCCACAGACCAGGAGATTCCCAGGCAGAGGAGCTCCATGGGTCGTCAGTGCGGCTGTTTTGGCCTGTGCGGCTACTTTGCCAGGGCCCTGGCGCGGTGGTTCTCCATACAAAATACACTGGTCCCGGTGCCCTTTTAGCTGGCGATTGGAGACCCAGGAAGGCAGATTTCCCATTCATGTGATTTAAAAAGGAACTAAAACAGGGAGCCAGGCCAGGAGATTCCTGGGCAAAAAAACCGCCATAAATCTCAGCGCCGCTGTTTCAGCCAGGGCAGTGAGTCACCGCACGGGAAATCACACAGATCCTGGCGCCTTTTCAAAAGGCGACTGGAACACCTGGGAGAGAATGAACCGTTCAATTAAAAAAAAAAAAAAAAAAAAAAAGACTCTGAGTCAGGGAGTCAGGTGATCAGGCTTGGCTGGACCCACCCCCACAAAAAAAAAAAAAAAAACAAAACAGTAATTGAAAACACCCTGGGTTGAGAGTTTCACAGCAAGCACAGCTGAACCTGGGACAGTACAGCTCTGTGGGGGAGGGGCGTCCACCATTATTGAGACACTCCACCACTAGGGAGGTAGTCCGCCATGCTGAGGCAACCTGCCATTACAGAGAGAGTCCACCATTACAGAGGCGGGCCACCATTGCCGAGGCAGTTCTAACTACACCTATATAAACAGGACTGCAGGGAAGATCACACAGCAGCTGGGCAGAGCCCACAGCAGCTCAGCAAAGCCTCTGCAGGCAGACAGTGACTAGGCTACCTCCTCGCTGGGCAGGGCAGCCCTGAAAAAAAAAGGCAGCAGCACAACGGAAACTCATAAATAAAGCCCTAACACCATCGGACAGAGCACCTGGGGGGAAAAAATAAGGAGTTTACGAGTTCTGCTGCAGCAGACCTAAACGTACGTGCCCAGCAACTCTGAAAGAACAACGGAGCTCACAGCTCAGCACTTGAGCTCCAATAAAGGACAGACTGTCTCCTCAAGCAGCTCCCTGACCCCCTTATATCCAAAGAGTTACCTTATAAAGGAGAGAACACACTGACATTTGGCAGGTATCCTTCTGGGACAAAGACAGCAGAAGAAGAAACTGGTAGCAACCCTTACTGTTCTGCAACTGCTGCAGGTGATCCACAGGCAAGCAGGGCCTGGAGCGGACCTCAGCAGTCCTACAGCAGAGGGGCCAGACTGTTAGAAGGAAAACTAAGAAACAGAAATAACTTCATCATCCACAAACTGGAAGTTCACCCAGAGACCCAATCTGAAAGTCAGCAACTACAAAGACAACAGGTGGATAAATACACAAAAATGGGAAGAAACCAGTGCAAAAAAGATGAAAACACCTGAAACCAGAACGCCTCTCTTCCTACAAGGGATTACAACTCCTCACCAGCAAGGAAACAGGGCTGGATGGAGAATGAGTGTGATGAAATGACAGAATCAGACTTCAGAAGGTGGGTAATAAGAAACTTCTGTGAGCTGAAAGAACATGTTCTAACCCAATGCAAAGAAACTAAGAACCTTGAAAAAAGATCTGATGAAATGCTAATGAGAAGGGACAACATAGAGAGGAATATAAGTGAATTGATGGAGCTGAAAAACACAACATGAGAACTTTGTGAAGCATGCACAAGTTTCAATAGCCGAATTAACCAAGCAGAAGAAAGGATATCAGAGGTCGAAGATCAACTCAATGAAATAAAATGAGAAGGCAAGATTAGAGAAAAAAGGGTAAAAAGGAATGAACAAAGTCTCCAAGAAATGTGGGACTACATGAAAAGACCTAATCTATGTTTGATCGGTGTACCTGAATGTGACAGAGAGAATGAATCCAACCTGGAAAATACTCTTCAGGCTATCACCCAAGAAAACTTCCCCAACCTAGCAAGGCAGGCCAATATTCAAGTCCAGGAAATACAGAGAACACCACAAAGATATTCTTCAAGAAGAGCAACCCCAAGGCACATAATCGTCAGATTCACCAGGGTTGAAATGAAGGAGAAAATACTAAGGGCAGCCAGAGAGAAAGGTCAGGTTACCCACAAAGGGAAGCCCTCAGACTCACAGCAGATCTCTCAGCAGAAACCCTACAAGCCAGAAGAGAGTGGGGGCCAATATTCAACATCCTTAAAGAAAAGAACTTTCAACCCAGAATCATATATCCAGCCAAACTAAGCTTCGTAAGTGAAGGAAAAATAAAATCCTTTGTGAACAAGCAACTACTCAGAGATTTCATCACCACCAGGCCTGCTTTATAAGAGCTCCTGAAAGAGGCTCTACACATAGAAAGGAACAACCAGTACCAGCCACTCCAAAAACATACCAAATGGTAAGGAGCATCAACACAATCAAGAATCTGCATCAACTAACGGGCAAAACAGCCAGCTAGCATCAAAATGGTAGTATCAAACTCACACGTAACAGTATTAACCCTAAATGTAAATGGAATAAATGCCCCAGTCAAAAGACACAGACTGGCAAATCGGATAAAAAGCCAAAACACATTGGTGTGCTGTATCCAGGAAACCCATCTCACATGCAAGGATACACAAAGGCTCAAAATAAAGGGATGGAGGAAGATTTACCAAGCAAATGGAGAGCAAAAAAAAGCAGGAGTTGCAATTCTCATCTCTGATAAAATAGACTTTAAACCAACAAAGATCAAAAGAGACAAAGAAGGACATTACACAACGGTAAAAGAATCAATGCAACAAGAAGAGCTAACAATCCTAAATATATACGCACCCAATACAGGAGCACCCAGATACATAAAGGGAGTTCTTAATGACTTATAAAGAGACTTAGACTCCCACATAATAATAGAGGGAGACTTTAACACCCCATTGTCAATATTAGACAGATCAACGAGACAGAAAATTAACAAGGATATCCAGGACTTGAACTCAGACCTGGAACAAGCAAACCTAATAGACATTTACAGAACTCTCCACCCGAAATCCACAGAATATACACTCTTCTCAGCACCACATCACACCTACTCTAAAACTGACCACGTAATTGGAAGCAAATTACTCCTCAGCAAATGCAAAAGAATGGAAATCATAACAAACTGTCTCTTAGACCACAGCGCAATCAAGTTAGAACTCAGAATTCAGAAAGTAACTCAGAACCACACAGCCTCATGGAAACTGAACAACTGGCTCTT